AGTTTATCTGTTGGCTCAGACAAAGAGCTTCCCGCTAGGCGAGGTGGGATCGCTGTCTCAGCCTGTTGTCCTCTCACTGCTCCCAGTCACCCAGCTGATAGCTCTGCTTACCAGGCACCACAACTTTGCCCAAGCCCCAGCCTCAACCCTCGAGGCCCTGCTCCAGCCCTCAAGCCCTGCCCCAACCCAAGCCCCAGCCCCTGCCTCCAGCCTCAGATCCATCCCTGCCCTCCAGCCCCTGTCCCAGCTCTCCAGCTCTAGCCAGGAGACCAGCCTCTGCTTTTCCTGGTTGTCTGTGAGAAAACATGAGCAGATGGCCAACAATGTTATGTAACTCAACTGCCTCAACTACCCCAACCTGGGCAGCTGCAGAGTGTAGCCCCGTACTCCCCTGGACTGACTTTTATGTGTACAGCCCAAATCATGTTTTTATGTTCGGTGTCCTCTAAGGCCGATCCAGAGACCGTTAACTCTGTTTGAAGGTCCCCTCATGGCCCATTTGTTCCTATTTCATACAACTTGGACCATACTTGTGCCATCCTTTCACTCCCATGCATTTTGTGCCAGCTCTGTAGTAGACAATTGTCCATAGAAAAGTATACTCTGCAACATTGTTCAGCCCGTTCAGCATGATAAAAGCCTCTCTCTTTCACTCTCCCTGGCCCAATCTCATTGGTGATCTGACAATACGAGGAAGGATGTGTTGAACTACTCTGAGCAGAGAACACTCGACCCGCAGCTCTGCTGCCTAGGACACCAGGAATACGTTTTTCATCCTCAAATATTTAGCCTGAGTGTGAGAGCGCGAGGAGCTGTGAAGTCTCTGTGTGTGTGTGTGTGTGTGTGTGGACGGTGGGCTACTGCTGCTCTCTCTCCTGACACACTGCTCTAACCAGAGTGCGATGTTCAGATGTCTATGTTTCTCTCTCCTATGACCCTGTGCCTTTTGCCTTGAACCACCTCCCAGACTTAGTTCTTTAAAATAGAGAATAATACAGATGTTTTTAGCCTCAACCGCCAGTGGGCAAGCGCCCAGATCTCCACAGCTTACGTGAGAGATGAGCCTGATGTGTCCCTTTGCGGACAAACTGTATAAAACCTGAGGATGGACAAGAAGCCCATGGAGTGCAGCTGTACTAAGACAGCTTTGTTCTCTGCTGACTTGCTTCCAAAGTCAGTCACTGAACAGAACTCACATTGTGCGCTTGTTCCATGAGTAAACTCAGGCTGTCAACACTGGCTCCTCTGCCTACCAGAGCTGCTTCAGTCAGATGAATACTGTGCTGCTTGTACTCTGTGTAGAAAAAAGCTAATTTACATAGAGGTGTTTTTCTTTCTTGAATGGGCTTCTCGGAGATGCCAGAAATATGCATTGTTTACAATAGCCCATTCTGTGGTAATAAACCAATTTCTGAACCCTACCTCATGCCCGAATTCAGGTTGTGTGTACGTGTGTGTGCGTATGTGTGCGTGTGTGCGTGTGTGTGCGTGTGTGCGTGTGTGCGTGTGTGCGTGTGTGTGTGTGTGTGTGTGTGTGTGTGTGTGTGTTAAGGCTTTCCTAGGGGGTTGCTAGGTTTTCTATACTATCTCACCACCACAACAAGAGAACGTTTTGACCATTCAACAGACTGAATTTATCAAGCATGCCAAAATAGGTCTTTGTGTTTTTGTTTGCTTAAGCTGGAGAATAGCCACCATTGTAATACAGAGATTGCTCTTGTGACCACTGACTAGCTAATTACCCAATTGGTGCTTCTAGACAGAGCACAAACAGAATGTGCTGAAATCCATACTCCACTGAGTTTACCATACTGTTTCCATGCTTTGTGTCTGCCTATTATATTCATAAATGGCTACAATATCATTCATTTGAATGACAATATAGTGTCTGCCAGCTGGTTTTCCCAGCGTACTCCAGTCCACCCATTGTTAGAAGTGAATAAGCGATCTGTTTTCTTTGACTGGGGCACACAGAAAGTCTTATTCAATGCAAACATTGCACAACATTTTATTCATGGCCACATAAAATAAAATAAACATAATACGCAAATCACTCTGTTGGACAGCGGCACGGTCTGTGTTACTGCTATTAGATATAAAACCACTGAAATCAGCCTGTAACTGAAGTTTATTTAACTCAAATGCAGGAATTAGGCCAAAAACCGTTAAAAGGGTTGTTGCTCGCCCTAATTCAGGGGAAGTTTCCCCCTTCTCTATGACACTATTCAGGAACAAAGTTGATCAATGCGAGCTTTGTGCCTGCCCCCACTGTTCACAGGTTCCTAGAGCAAACAGTACAGTACAGATACCTCATTCCCCTGCACTATTTATTCAGGGAAGAAAAAATCCAACACTTCCTTCATCCTCAATTTCATCTGTCAGATGCCCCCCCCGCTCAAGTCACAACCTAACTTTTATGGCTCAGGCAAACTTCAAACGGCTGCTTAACTGGAAGATTAACATGCCGGGCGAGCATTGGGTCGGACTGATGTGTTCGACCCTTGAGGGTTTGACTACTGAAAATAATAATGGATCATCGCTGTATGTGAAGTTGAACTGTCTGTCTGTGGAGCAACAGTCAGAACCTGGGCTCCAGCCCCTCAGTTTGTCATTTCAGTTTCCCATCTGGTAGGAAAAGCCTCAGGGATCCTCTTACAGGCCCTCAAATGTCAGGGATGAGACACATCCTCTGCTAGAGTCGTGTTGCACTGGGGAACCGCCAAAAGTCTGGGAAGGACATCAACAAACAAGCCTTGTTACGCAATTTCATTTCATTTTATTCTCTTTCCACCAAAACCATAATGCATGCAAAGATTGTAAAGTATTCTTCTCATACGCAATCATAGCCATTACATTTCTCTCTCTTATGAGGCAATTTGTTATTTATTAGCTTCATGGCATTTCCTTTCCTAAAGGCCCAAGGGAAGACATTAATTAGAAACGTAATTACCAATTTTCTCCACTGTCATCAATCATACACTGCTTTATTCTACCCTTCCACACTCTCTCTCCGAGTCCTCCGTAACAGCCACAGATCTAACCTGGTATCCTACTAGCAGGAGATCTGTGAAATGATTTAGCCATTGACAATTACAGTGTCTTCAGAGAGTATTCATACCCCTTGACTTATTCCACATTTTGTTGTGTTATAGCCTGAATTCAAAATCGATTACATTAATTTTTTTCTCACCCATCTACACACAACACCCCACAATGACAAAGTGAAAACATTGTTTTTTGAAATTTTTGCAAATGTATTGAAAATGAAATACAGGAATATATCATTTATATAAGCATTCACACCACTGAGTCAATACATTTTAGAATCACCTTTGGCAGCGATTACAGCTGTGAGTCTTGAGTCTTTCTGAGTAAGTCTGTAAGAGCTTTGCACACCTGGAATGTACAATATTTGCACATTATTATTATTTTATTTGTTTTAATTCTTCTAGCTCTGTCAAGTTGGTTGTTGATCATTGCTAGACAGCCATTTTCAAGTCTTGCCATAGATTTTCAAGCCGATTTAAGTCAGAACTGTAACCAGGCCATTAAATGTAAGCAACTCCAGTGTATATTTGGCCTTGTGAGTTAGGTTATTGTCCTGCTGAAAGGTGAATTAATCTACCAGTGTCTGGTGGAAAGCAGACTGAACTAGGTTTTACTCTAGGATTTTGCCTGTGCTTAGCTCCATTCCATTTCTTTTTTATCCTGAGAAACTCCCCAGTCCTTAACAATTACAAGCATACCCATAACATGATGCAGCCACCACTGTGCTTGAAAATATGGAGAGTGGTACTCAATAATGTGTTGTATTGGATTTTCCCCAAACATAACACTTTGTATTCAGGACAAAAAGTAAATTGCTTTGCCACATTTTTTGCAGTATTACTTTAGTGCCTTGTTGCAAACAGGATGCATGTTTTGGAATATTTTTATTCGGTACAGGCTTCCTTCTTTTCACTGCCAATTAGTTCAGTATTGTGGAGTAACTACAATGTTGTTGCTCCATCCTCAGTTTTCCCCTATCACAACCATTCAACTCTAACTGTTTTAAAGTCACTATTGGCCTCATGGCAATTAAGTTAGGAAGGATGCATGTATCTTTGTCGTGACTGAGTGTATTGATACACCATCCAAAGTGTAATTAATAACTTCCCCCTGCTCAAAGGGATATTCAATGTCTTTTCTTGTTTTTTACCCATCTACCAATAGGTGCCCTTCTTTGCAAGGTATTGGAAAATCTCCCTGGTCTTTGTGGTTGAATCTGTGTTTGAAATTCACTGCTTGACTGAGGGACCTTACAGATCATTTTATGTGTGGGAAACAGAGACGAAGTAGTCATTAACAAATCATGTTAAACACTGTTATTGCACATGCAAATTATTATGCCACTTGTTATGCACATTTTTACTCCTGAACTTATTTAGGCTTGCCATAACAAAGGGGTTGAATACTTATTGACTCAAGACATTTCAGCTTTTCATTTTGTATTAATGTGTACACATTTCTAAAAACATGATTCCACTTTGACATTATGGGGTATTGTGTGTAGGCCAGTGACACAACATCTCAATTTAATCCATTTTAAATTCAGGCTGTAACACAACAACATTTGGAAAAAGCCATGGGGTGTGAATACTTTCTGAAGGCACTGAATAGGATAGGACATGAGTTTGCAGCACCCAATCCCTCGACTCTGTATACATAACAGTGACATGGTAGAACCAAAATAAACAGTGGTTAAGCATTGGGTAATCCAAGCTTTGTAAGGTAGCTACTGTTCTTCTACAATATGAGACAGAGGGGCACTCCACTTTTATTTTCCTGAATAGTGTCCAAAGTACACCCCTGAGCCCCCTGCACTCCCTAACCAGGGTATGATGACCATTATGTTGGCTCTGGCATATCGATAGACAAACGCTTCCTGGTATGCTAAGTGTAGTGTGATTTCTAAAATAAGGGCAGGGAAAAAAGTCAGTGTTAAACATGGCCTTGTATTAATGGCTGGTGAGATGGAGAGCCTGTTTGGATTGAGAGCTGGATCCAGTGGGTGGGCAGGGATCAGGGAAGGTCTTAGACAGGATGTGCTGAGAGGTTTGTCGTGTCTAGAGCCGAGCATAGCTCTCACTCTCCATCCTAACAGGATGCTGTAAAGCTGCCACGGAGTGAAGGGGATCTGATGACTGCAACATGAGCAACACTGTTCCACTAACACTGCATGCAGGCCAGGGAGCCCCACTCCTCTCCCCACTCCTCTCCCCCCTTTTCCCCTGCCGTCTTGCGAACAGTGTGGGCACTGTTTTTGCCTGGAGCTGGGTGGAAGGTGGTGTTACAATATGCCTTACAGAGGCTTGTTATTGTATGTGACTGACTCGATGTGTGTGTGTGCATGTGTGTATTTCAGAGGAGCTGAAGTGTGCCGGGACCACATGTCCTGCTCTGCCGGTGCCCTCCTGTCCTGAGGGCTCGGTTCTGACCAAGAGCTACACTCCCCCTGCTGGCTGCTGCCCCACCGTGCCCCCCCAGTGCACCTGTGACCTCCGCGCGTGCCACAAGCCCCAGTGCCCCTCCGGCCAGAAGACTGTGCCACTCAGTCAGGCCACCGGCGAGCCAGGAGACTGCTGTGACTTGTTAGAGTGCCAGAAAGGTAACATATATAAGCATAGCAAGCCATGAATTTGTGTAGGCTACTTAGTTTTTTTGCTGAGAGAAATGGTGCTGGTGTGAAATGTAATGCCTTTGCGGAGGTAATTATTTTAATCAGAACACAAAGTCCCAGTTGACCAAATGTTCTGTAATGAAAAGAAGAGTCAGTAATTAGATGGTAATTTGTTGTTTATCAGTTTTTCCGCCACTGCAGAGTGTGAGGACAGTTGAAATATTGAAATTTTTCTGGGGTGTAGCCACAAATAATCTCAACACCACAAGGCATATTAAACATAATGGATCTCATTATGCAGATTGTGTGTGTGAAGCGTGCTCACAACTGGTGTTCTCGCCCTCTGTGTGTGTGTATCTGTGTGTGTGTGTGTGTGTGTGTTTGTGAGAAAGAGAGAGAGAGAGAGAGAGAGAGAGAGAGAGAGAGAGAGAGAGAGAGAGAGAGAGAGAGAGAGAGAGAGAGAGAGAGAGAGAGAGCAGATGTTGGTAGTTCGGCCAGTTCGGCCAGTTCACTCTCCTTCTACAACAGCACATTCACAGCAGCTAGCTAATCAGCCAGCCAGCCAGTCAGGGATGCAGGGAGTCAGGGAGGGAGGTAGGCAGGGAGGGAGGCAGGGAGAGAGGCAGGGAGTCAGGGAGGGGGGTAGGCAGGGAGTCAGGGAGTCAGCGAGGGAGGTAGGCAGGGAGAGAGGCAGGGAGGCAGGGAGAGAGGCAGGCAGGGAGGGAGAGAGGCAGGGTGGGAGGTAGGGAGAGAGGCAGGGAGAGAGGCAGGGAAATAGGTAGGGAGAGATGCAGGGAGAGAGGCAAGGAGGCAGGGAGAGAGGCAGGGAGGGAGAGAGGAAGGGAGGGAGAGAGGCAGGGAGGGAGGTAGGGAGAGAGGCAGGGAGAGAGGCAGGGAAAGAGGTAGGGAGAGATGCAGGGAGAGAGGCAAGGAGGCAGGGAGATAGGTAGGGAGAGAGGCAGTGAGGGAGAGAGGCAGGGAGGGAGAGAGGCAGGGAAAGAGGTAGGGAGAGAGGCAAGGAGGCAGGGAGAGAGGCAGGGAGGGAGAGAGGCAGGGAAAGAGGCAGGGAGAGAGGCAGGGAGAGAGGCAGGGAGAGAGGCAGGGAAAGAGGCAGGGAGAGAGGCAGGGAGAGAGGCAGGGAAAGAGGCAGGGAGAGAGGCAGGGAGTCAGGGAGGGTGGCAGAGAGGGGACCTGGACCTGGCTGTTTACTCTGCGCTCCCAGCAAATATTAGCTGTTTTACCAACATAATAAATTGTGCAGTGTCAAAGAGTTCCAGCCTGGTCACATGTCCAAAAGGAAAAGGTTCAACAGTTCATTGATGGGAATACTTTTTATGTGCTCCAGTCTGCCAGGGGGAGTGTAATCGAGTCAGGCAGGCCGGCGGGGGCTTAATGCAGCTGCAGAGGCTAGGGGATCAGTGTTTTGATAACAAGTGTCTGCTGCTCTTTGGGTCTGGACTTGACACCCTTTGTGCCTCCTCTACTGGCAGTTAGCCCTGCATGACTGCGCCCACATCAAAAATCACACAGAGAGGAATTGGGGATGAAGACATGGCACCTACCCCACTAGTATCCCCCAAGACCTCAGAAAAAAACATCCCACATGTGTTGGGTGCAGTTGTGATTTTAGCATGTAAATCTGTGTGGGGCAAACTAATTTCTTTTTTTTATGCATGCCAGCAAAGCCACTACACAACAAAACACTAAACAATTCATTAATTGCACTATAACGGTGACAAACGGTGCCCACAAACTATTAGGGCCTACATAAAGCTGTCCCAACAGCAGAGCTTTCTTTTCAGCACCATGGCGTGAATCCTATCCACCACTACACCTGGCTATTACCAGAGCCTTGTCTGGCAGCGAAACAGTTCATTCAGCCTAATTTACTGCCTTTAAAAAAAACATAGCTGATATGGCTGACTTGCTTAAACAAATGTGGTTTCGACTGACAATTGAGATGTACAAACTATGGCATAAGGGAATGATGAGCGGATGAGAGGCAATCCGTAATTTCGATTAAGAAATTAATGAGCGAGCTAGGACGGATGTAGTCAATATAACTATTTGTTCAGCACTTTTGAAATGTACAGTGACATAATTCAGAACATGGGCTATACTTACAGTATTCTCCCTGTACACCTAGTCAGAACCGTAGGATAAATTAAGGGGGCATATAAGCAGACAATGAAAGCTCTTACAATAATCGATGATGCCATTTCTCTAAAACAGGTTATAGGCTACATGTACACCACCAAGTCAGAACAGTAGGCTAAGTTATGAGGGGAAAACGGACCAAATTATTAGGGTGAGGCACATGGGCTACTAACAGCTTACTATACAACATACAGTCGTGGTCAAAAGTTTTGAGAATGACACAAGTATTGGTCTTCACAAAGTTCGCTGCTTCAGTGTTATTCAGTATATTTTTGTCAGATGTTACTATGGTATACTGAAGTATAATTACAAGCATTCCATAAGTGTCAAAGGCTTTTATTGACAATTACATTAAGTTTATGCAAAGAGTCAATATTTGCAGTGTTGACCCTTCTTTTTCAAGACCTCTGCAATCCGCCGTGGCATGCTGTCAATTAACTTCTGGGCCACATCCTGACTGATGGCAGCCCATTCTTGCATAATCAATGCTTGGAGTTTGTCAGAATTTGTGGGGTTTTGTTTGTCCACCCGCCTCTTGAGGATCGACCACAAGTTCTCAATGGGATTAAGGTCTGGGGAGTTTCCTGGCCATGGACCCAAAATGTTGATGTTTTGTTCCCTGAGCCACTTAGTTATCACTTTTGCCTTATGGCAAGGTGCTCCATCATGCTGGAAAAGGCATTGGTCGTCACCAAACTGTTCTTGGATGGTTGGGAGAAGTTGCTCTCGGAGGATGTGTTGGTACCATTCTTTATTCATGGCTGTGTTCTTAGGCAAAATTGTGAGTGAGCCCACTCCCTTGGCTGAGAAGCAACCCCACATATGAAGGGTCTCAGGATGCTTTACTTTTGGCATGACACAGGACTGATGGTAGCGCTCACCTTGTCTTCTCCGGACAAGGTGTTTTCCGGATGACCCAAACAATCGGAAAGGGGATTCATCAGAGAAAATGACTTTACCCCAGTCCTCAGCAGTCCAATCCCTGTACCTTTTCCAGAATATCAGTCTGTCCCAGATGTTTTTCCTGAAGAGAAGTGGCTTCTTTGCTGCCCTTCTTGACACCAGGCCATCCTCCAAAAGTCTTCGCCTCAATGTGCGTGCAGATGCACTCACACCTGCCTGCTGCCATTCCTGAGCAAGCTCTGCACTGGTGGTGCCCCGATCCCGCAGCTGAATCAACTTTAGGAGACGGTCTGGCGCTTGCTGGACTTTCTTGGGCGCCCTGACGCCTTCTTCACAACAATTGAACCTCTCTCCTTGAAGTTCTTGATGATCAGATAAATGGTTGATTTAGGTGCAATCTTACTAGCAGCAATATCCTTGCCTGTGAAGCCCTTTTCGTGCAAAGCAATGATGACGGCACGTGTTTCCTTGCAGGTAACCTTGGTTAACAGAGGAAGAACAATGATTTCAAGCACCACCCTCCTTTTAAAGCTTCCAGTCTGTTATTCTAACTCAATCAGTGGACAGTGTGATCACCTTAGACCTCCTGAGTGGCGCAGTGGTCTAAGGCACTGCATCGCAGCGCTAACTGTGCCACTAGAGATCCTGGTTCGAATCCAGGCTCTGTTGCAGCCGGCCGCGACCGGGAGACTCATGGGCGGCGCACAATTGGCCCAGCGTTGTCCAGGCTAGGGGAGGGAATGGCCGGCAGGGATGTAGCTCAGTTGATAGAGCATGGCGTTTGCAATGCCAGGGTTGTGGGTTCGATTCCCACGGGGGGCCAGTATAAAAAAATATGTATTCACTAACTGTAAGTCGCTCTGGATAAGAGCGTCTGCTAAATGACTAAAATGTAAATGTTAACGAGAGAATCACTGACATGATGGCAGCTGGTCCTTTTGTGGCAGGGCTGAAATGCAGTGGAAATGTTTTGGGGGGATTAAGTTCATTTCATGGCAAAGAGGGACTTTGCAATTAATTGCAATTCATCTGATCACTCTTCATGACATTCTGGATTATATGCAAATTGCCATCATCAAAACTGAAGCAGCAGACTTTGTGAAAATTTGTATTTGTGTCATTCTCAAAACTTTTGACCACGACTGTACACTTAGTATTACTTTCTTAGCTACAGTATACATATCTCCCTGGCATATTGCTGTCACGAGTGTCAGTGTAATGTGGTGGATCGAAGTCAGGCACAGGACACAGAACTCTATGAAATGTACTTTACTGAATAAGTAAAGAAATCAATACAAAATACCTCCACACAGGGAGGAACAAACCCGCTCACCAACAACACACGAAACGAAAAACAAACACGCACAAAACACAATGGGAGCCACCGGGTTAAATAGGGAAGGAGTAATCACATAATGGGAAACAGGTGTGTAACAATCAGACAACAGGTAGAACATAGAAACATAGAACATAGATCGGCAGTAGCTAGTATTCCGGTGACGACGAACGCCGAAGCCTGCCCGAGCAAGGAGGAGGGGCAGCCTCAGCAGAATCCGTGACAATTGCATCATTTATGCAGCAGCATACAATACATTTTTGGACTCACCTTGTTTTGCTGTGCTTACTTGAACAGGACGGTGGTGCGGCGGTCTTTCTTGTGGGTTCCGAGTTGGATGACCATTCAACACGTATTTTCCCAGTCGGAGCTCATTGATTTCCGGGTTCCCAGTTGTCTTGAACTCACTGAAGTCTGAGATTTCCCAGTTCTGAGTTTCCAGCTGTTTTGAATGTGGCAGAAGTCATGCTGGATTGACAGCATGGCCAATGTATTCAACCTTTTTTGGCCCATGGTGTTGCATGTGAATGTTTATCCTTTTAAGCTTGGAAAAGAGACCCTTAAACCCAGACATGGACCACCCCCCCAATGACTATAATTTATCTTCATATGACAATGATTGAAAAGGATTTGCCAGTAGATTGTCGACTAGATTCATGATGATGATTGCTTGTCTAGCGTGCTAGCTAAGAATTTGGAAGTATGATGTACGGTGGATATAACGTGATTTGACGTCATTTTACCTGTGGCCAATGACCTTGAGCCTTCTTGGATGGGCACTTCTAATGTAAATCTATGGCAGCACCCAAGGGGCTTGAATCTTTTAGCTCTACCCAGTCGATTTTGCGGTGACATAGTGTCCCCATGAGTGACAGAACACGACGCAACTAGAGAACATTACCAACCCCTACGCTCTGTATTTTCCGCTGGCTGCCCCACCACCACAGAAAGCACTGAGCTATGCTGAAACACCTTTATTTTGGAGCTGTCTTACTCAAGATAGCAAAAAAGAGACCAAGTTTGTATGCGGGTTTATTAACTCAATGATTTTTTTTTATACATTGTTTGCGAACTGATATGTGACACAAATTATTGCCAAAATAAGATACAAAACAATTATTTTAATTTGTATTTATTTTTGTTAAACAGGTGGGGCTCAAAATGAATGACGGGTCGCTACTGGTTGGGTCACTCACAAACACTAAAGCCCATCCACAAAACACATTAAATTATTGTCAGGTTCATTAATCACAAAGTTTGAGATTCCTATAATATTTTGCAATGGAACACATAATAGTACCCAACTTTCAGTGACCTAAGGCATTGAACACATGTTTTTACAGACCAGAGGTTGGCTTTTGGTGGGTATTTGGTCACGTCAGTGGACAGAGTACTATGCCAATGGGTCTGACATGTGTGTTTTGGCCATGTTTGATGAGACGTTTCCAGCTCTGGCTGAAGAATGGGTCTGGGTGGCTGGGTAGGAGCTGGCATGGCCTTCCTGACCTGATGTCATCTGATATTACAGATGGTCCCAAATGACCACGTTAACAGCAGCCTACTGTTTATCAACCCGTTGACGAGCAAACAGTATGGACTTCATCGCATGTAGCATGGATTTAGGTTTAACCACAACTTGATGTAGACTAGTATGGTACTTGCTTTCCAAGAACATTAAAGCTGTAAACTTGAATCAAGCTCTACAACTGCACGAAGTGTCTGGCAATTTTAATCAAGAATGCATGGTAGAAGTCTTGATGTGCATTATATGGGAGGAAATTGGATTCACCAGAATTAATATGCTGTGACATTTCTGCTCCACTGAGAACAATCCCTCAGATTTTTGGTTTATCATTTCGGTTTCAAATGTTTGTTTGCTGGGAGAGACAGTCACACCATGTCGGTTGTAATTCATGTTTTAGGATGGGCCAAGGTCAGGGTTTCATACAGGAGCACAACTTTGATTGGAGAAGTGGGGGGGACATAATATTATTATATATTATTTTTTTATCCTTTCGGATAAACACTCCAAACAGCCTACCCGACGCTCGGAGGCGTCCACATGGTCCTAAAACACACCGTTGCCTCGTTTTGTATCACATTCCAATGATACAACTGGGGGGGGACAAAAATGCAATTTCAGAATGTGGGGGACTGGGAGTCAGTAAGCATGAATGGAATTTAGTGTCCCTGCCGCAAGTTTGTTTTAGGGATTACCATTAACAAATACTGTGGAAATCACGTGAACATCCTGTCATGTGACTTCCTATTTTTTCCAGAGCATTACAAATGTTGCCATGCATTTCGATTTCTGCCTGGCAAAGTGGTTATTGCATTTTATCTCCTAGGTTATGCTGCACGCAATGCAGGCAGGCATAGAGAGAGAGAGAGAGAGAGAGAGAGAGAGAGAGAGAGAGAGAGAGAGAGAGAGAGAGAGAGAGAGAGAGAGAGAGAGAGAGAGAGAGAGAGAAATAGAATGAAAGAAAGAAAGTTAATGTGGTCTTTCAAGACCCTGAGTCATTGGCATAGCCAGTGAAAGTGTCAAAGACAAATGGCTGTGGTAATCACTGAGTTATTTTGTCAACATCCCCTCTTGTTTATTTGGCAATAATACAGAATCAATTTTAATGAAATTATGGAACTTTAAATGATGGAACTTTAATAAACAAAATACTAAATAGAGAATGGGCTTTTCCTTCACCAATCTCTCTCTCTCACACACACACACACACACACACACACACACATACACTCTCCCGGAGTGTTCCAGGAGCATCGCGTGCAGTGAGCGGACGGTAGTGTCTGCGAGGCGGCTGCTCGGGGCTTGTTATGGGTCTCTATTGATCCATACAGTAGTCATTGTTCTATGGGCTGGCGCTCGGAGACAGACAGCTGAGGTTTCCGGTACTTACCCTGGCTTTACTGTATCTGTCTGCTGTCTGCATCCCAGCTCTCCAGACCACACTGTACCAGCCCAGTCTGCTGCTGTTTTCTTTTACCCAGCGCTGGGATGAGCTGAGCTGAGCTACCCTGCGAGCGCTGCCTCCAGCAAGACTTTACAGATCTCTGCTAAATTCCACCTAATGGAGCTGGCTTTATTGTCTAATGCTGTTGGAGCACAGTGCCCAGGGCTCTCGGCCCAAGCGCCTAGCTCCGCACGACTTTACCACAACACACTACTCTTCCATCCACAGCTAGCTACACTGTAATTATTGCACGGATACAGAAGCAACAAACTCATTCTGTCCCGGCCATAAGACTCCTGAACAGCTAATCATGGCTACCCAGACTATTTGCATTGTCCCCCCCACCCCACCCCCTCTTTTACGCTGCTGCTACTATTATCTATGCATAGTCACTTTAACTCTACCCACATGTACATATTACCTAAATTACCTCGACTAACCAGTGCCCCCTCACATTGACTCTGTACTGGTACCCCCTGTATATAGCCTCCCTACTGTTATTTTATTTTACTGCTGCTCTTTAATTATTTTCTATTTTTAACTTATCAATTTTTTACTTAACACTTTTTTTCTTAAAACTGCATTGTTGGTTAAGGGCTTGTAAGTAAGCATTTCACTGTAAGGTCTACACCTGTTGTATTCGGCGCATGTGGCAAATACAATTTGATTTGATTTGATTTGTATTTAATACATACCAAATTTGATGGTTTAGCATGTTCATTTATCAGCCGTGAGTGTATGTTAGCCATCAAGAGTCCTACATGTCATTCAGGTTGACAGCATATGTGTCCTCATCCACTTTTCCCAGTTTCTCCCAAGTGTATCCACAACGGGAAGGAGTTTTCCCAGGAGGAGGTGTACCGTATGGACCCGTGCTGGCTCTGCCAGTGTCGAGGAGGGATATCCTTCTGCTCCAAAGCAGAATGTGCGGAACTCGACTGTGAGAACTTCTACATCCCGGAGGGAGAATGCTGCCCCGTATGCATAGGTACACACATCATTTTAAAGTTAAATAACAGTATTTATTACAGATATAGATGTTTTATAGTAAGTGAGGTTTTGTATGACATGACCAGATTTGTGGAGGTGAGCTGGCACAGTCAGGGAGGCTGTTTGTGATTAGTGTTGAGTGTGCCCAGACAGACAGGGAGGCAGACGTATGGAGCAGATAAGGCTTTGGTACACTCCCCCAGGGCACCCAACACGCCATACAATGGCCTTACCTTAATGGCTTCCATTTAACATCCAGCTGGACTCAACAGTCATTAACATGCTTCACATACAAGGACTGGTCAAAATAATTAGCAATGGGTAGGAAGTCAGGAACATAAACCTCCTTTGAGTGACTGCTTTGGCTTCATTATATCTGGTTGGCTTAATGGGTAGAGACCTGTTTGTACCTGACCTCCTCACTAAAACACATGCCCTCAGAGGTAGGTAAAAACACTGGTACCTGCGGTTGGAGCTGTTGAAAGGCTTGGGTTTGGGCAGCGCATTTGGACAACAAATTATGGTCTCGTGAAGTACACTGAACAAAACTATGAACGCAACATGTAACAATTTCACAGATTGTACTGTGTTACAGTTCATATAACGAAATCAGTCAATTTAAATAAATTCATTAGGCCCTAATCTATGGATTTCACATGACTGGGAACCCAGATATGCATATTTTGGTCACAGATACCTTTTAAAAAAGTATGGGCGTGGATCAGAAAACCAGTCAGTATCTGGTGTGACCACCATTTGCCTCATGCAGCGTGACACATCTCCTTCGCATAGAGTTGATCAGGCTGTTGATTGTGGCCTGTGGAATGTTGTCCCACTCCTCTTCAATGGCTGTGCGAAGTTGCTGGATATTGGCGGGAACTGAAACATACTGTTGTACACGTCAATCCAGAGCATTTTCAGCTTCCAGGAATTGTGTACAGATCCTTGCGACATGTGGCTGTGCATTATCATGCTGAAACATGAGGTGATGTCAGCGGATGAATGGCACGACAATGGGCCTCAGGATCTCGTCACGGTATCTCTGTGCGTTCAAATTGCCATGGATAAAATGCACTTGTGTTCGTTGTCCGTAGCTTATGCCTGCCCATACCATAACCCCACCGCCACCATGGGGCACTCTGTTCACAACGTTGACATCAGCAAACTGCTCGCCCACACAACACCATACACGCTGTCTGACATCTGCCCGGTACAGTGGAAATCGGGATTCATCCATGAAGAGCACACTTCTCCAGCGTGCCAGTGGCCATCGAAGGTAAGCATTTGCCCACTGAAGTCGGTTACAACGTCTAACTGCAGTCAGGTCAAGACCCTGGTGAGGACGACGAGCATGAAAATGAGCTTCCCTGAGACGATTTCTGACCTTCTGTGTTGAATTTCTTCAGTTGTGAAAACCCACAGTTTCATCAGCTGTCTCAGACGATCCCGCAGGTGAAGAAGTTGGATGTGGAGATCCTGGGCTGGGGGTGTTACACGTGGTCTGTGGTTGTGAGGCCGGTTGGATGTACTGCCAAATTCTTGAAAAACGATGTTGGAGACAGCTTTTGTGTCACAAGTGTAGAGAGGAGTAGGCAGGAGGCAGTCGCAGGTTTAGAACTACTGAATTTATTAAAGCACCATAGCTTAAAGCGGGACGAAACCAACAGTGCAAAATATAAAGTACTCAGGAAATAGTAGGAAAGATTCCTCTCAGGAAAACAAGCAACATATACAATGACCGACAAAGACAAATGACAGAGGGAGTATATATACAGTGATAGAGTGGGGATTGGAACCAGGTGTGTGTAATGATGACGAGACAAGTCCGGGGTTGATGAGTGAAGGGTGTTTGCCAGCAGCAGGTTCGGCAGCAGCTAGAACGCCGGCGACGCCGAACGCCTGAGCTGGACAGGAGGGGGAGCCAAAGCGAAGGCTGGTGTGACATAAAATTCTCTGGCAACAGCTCTGGTGGACATTCCTGCAGTCAGCATGCCAATTGTACACTCCGTCAAAACCTGAGACATCTGTGGCATTGTGTTGTGTGACAAAACACATTTTAGAGTGGCCTTTTATTGTCCGCAGCACAAGGTGCACCTGTTTAACGATCATGTTGTTTAATCAGCTTCTTGATGTGCCACACCTGTCAGGTGGATAGATTATCTTGGCAAAGGATAAATGCTTACTAACAGGGCTTTAAACAAATGTAACATTTTAGAGAAATAAGCTTTTTCTGCGTATGGAACATTTCTGGAATCTTTTATTTCAGCTCATGAAACATGGGACCAACACTTTACATGGTGCGTTTATGTTTTTGTTCAGTGTATAATGGTGATGGTGGTTGCCAGATTTGTCTGCCTGTGTTTTGTAATTGATCAGACACATGAGAGGGAGGGAGACTGAGGGAGGTTATTGTAGGTCAGTGTCAGAGGTACACCTGGAATGTTCAGCCCCTGAGATGGTGGGGAATGCTTTCATCTTGTGCCCCTGCTTGGCCATAGAAAGCTCCAGTCATTGAGGAGTCTATTGTCAGGGTTATTGTGGTAAGCTGTGTGCGGCACCTGGTTCATGGTCATTATTAAGAGGAACCTGCGGTACTGTACCTGATAGCTGTCTCATTTACAAGGCAAAGCTGCATAGCTGTTCTAATCCTTTTCGTAGGCTGGTCAAGTCACCTAAAACCCTAAAAGTGCTTGAATGTGAGTGCAATACAATGTGTATTTTTAGGCTCGCTATTGATAGTGTGAAAGATGGGTAGAAAGAGAAAGAAAGGGATAGATTGAGAGGAAAGCAGAACTGCTTCATATTCGTGGTAATCATACCCAGATGGAGGAATGACAGCAGCCAAATCTCTGCTGGAATCAAATCTGGCAAATAGGACTTCGTCCTTAGGGATACCCCCCTTCTTCACCACACACACACACGCACGCACGCATGCACGCACACACACACACACACACACACACACACATACACACACACACACACATACACACACACACACACACACACGTGTTCAGTACACTACCCTCAGACCACCTAACCAATTCCACCTCACACTGCTGCTGTTGTAATGGCTTGCCTCTGTTACCAATAAACAGTTGAACAAAAAACAATTATGGTCATTTATGGTAAATTCTTAAGTCATCAGAACAGGTTCCCAGAATTCTAAGTCATACATCAGCTCAAACAGAGCACAATGTGTTTTCTGGGTTGCCTCTTAAACAGAAGGCTTTATTATGTTGCTGTTCCTAGACTTCAAACAAATGGGTAAAACCACATGTTATGCATGTATCGCTCTTAAATGGGATTTCTTGCTTTGGAGTGAAATTTTAGACGGTGAACCTTGAACTGGTCTTTGGCCTTCGGGGGCACCGCTGAAACTGGATCTGTGTGACATGCACATGGCTGAGGTTAACTCCTCTTAAGGGGAATGACTGGACACTGCAGAGACAGGAAATTAGATATGTCTGTCTTGCTTTTAATTAACTAATCTTGCTCCAATATGACATGCTCTGATCCCATGCTCGTCCATCTAGCTCTAATTACGTACATTATACATTAGACGTACACTATATGTACATTAGATCCCTGTACAGTTTCTTTACATCATCTCTGACTCCTTGAGGAGCTTTGGAGTGTTCTTCCACCGGTCTTGGTGGTTGGCCAGTTTCTCCTGGTCCCTCCAGCAATATCCTGCTTCCCTCACCTCTGATTCCACCATGTCCTTTGTTAACTCAATTACGTGGATATGTACATACACTGAGTATACAAAACATTAAGAACACGTGCTCTTTCCATGACATAGACTGACCAGGTGAATCCAGGGTGTTCCTAATGTTTGGTACACTCAGTGTATATATGTGTTGTGTGAATGTACATGTGTGTAATTCCACTGTAGTTGATGATGACAATGACATTGATGATGATTTTGTTAAATCTGTTTGGAAGTAGAGTGTGTGTGTCATACAGCATATGTACCACACAGCATTTACAAGTAAGGATGGTATACCAAACAGCACAGTATAGGTCCCACACTTCTCTCCTTCTTATCCCAGCCTCTATCTGTCTCCCTCTCTGTGTATCCAGATGTGGAGCTCCTGTCCATGGACAGTACGGAGGCCAGCTGCTGGCTGAACAACAAACTGCGTGGCCACGAGGAGCAGTGGAAGGAGGATGACTGCACCTTCTGTCAGTGTGTGGATGGAGAGCATCACTGTACCGCCATGGCCTGCAAACAGAGCTGCCAGAACCCCGTCAAGATCCCGGGAGAATGCTGCCCCTTCTGCGAGGGTATGGAGCGAGAGCGAGACACACACACACAGTCACACGCACACACACGCATACACACACAGTCACACGCACACACACGCACACACACACACACACACCTGCTTCATAAATGTATGTTCATACTGTACCTAATCACATACAGTATTGAAGTAGTTGGAGATTTAAGTTTGAAAATAGCATGTTCTAGACATAGCCCACATTGTCATAAGTAACCAATGTCCTCATAAGGAAATATCTCATGTCGCACTTCTTCAGAAGCCTAATATTGCATGTGCAAGCAATTGACATACCATATGTTTTAATTGAAGATTTAATGTTCCTTTCATCTAGCCTAATAGGGCAGTAAAGACTGTAACATACTGTATACTCAGTTATTAATCTAATAACATTTTTGAAGCACAGCAACTTCAATGTTTCTGATGTTTAAGGGTCAGGGGCACCATAAATTGTATCTGTCATTCCATTGAGCTCTTCATATAGCTAACATAGTGTATCTGTCAAAACTGCTGTCATAAACAACTTACAACTCGCCAGCTTATTGTCAGGAAAACACCCCCATTAATGCAACCCCCTCAAATGTCAATGTAGCTATATCAGATGTACAACAAATCAATTTACAGTACATTCGCCAATTGACATCTTCATCTGTAAATGGAACAATTCCTACTTCGTTGGACCAAGCTACAAAAACACTTACGTTTGACAATACAGTCGCTTTGAGCTCAGAACCTGACTGGTGGAACCGAACTGTAGAGTAGTCTCTCTCCCTGCAGTTATGTGGAGGCCATGTTGGCGGCTCATTAAAGAAGAGGCCATGGAGCATTCTTCAGCTGCAGGCTCCTTTGTGATTTTTTTATTGGTCCAGCCCGTAAAATGAGACCCACCTGCATGAGGTGCAGCTTAGACTGAGAGCTTAGTGCTGCTTAATTGGAGTGGATCACTGTTTTTTTGTGAGCGTAATTAGTTACAGCTTGTTTGGTGCTCCTCCCACTGAACGTGGCAAGATAATGGGGGGGGCGCTCCCACCCAGACCCCCACCCAGACCCCCACTTAACTTCTCCTGGTTGTGGCTTTTACATGTGTGACCCAGGCCAGCAGAACACCTCATCGCTGACAGGCTCCAGTGAGGATGAGGCCCTGCCCAGGGCCATAAGCCCTCTGGGTCTGTCCAGTGCCCACCTCTGACTCACCAGACTCCCACACAGGGGATTCTCTGTTAGGGAGGAGAACCAAGGCAAGGCGTGCTCCTGCACTCCTCCAGGTCATTTAGACAACATGTGAGGTGCTCATTCATCAAAGCCCTTTGATAGAGAGCACCTACAGTATCTGCTGTAATGGGCCTGCGTTTATCTCTAATCACAGCACTCTCTGATGGGAGCAACGTGAACACTGAACCATATCTGTTGGCATGGATATGGATGTGTAACATTACGTGTGTCTCAATGTACGGTTCTTTACTCTTTACTCTCATAAAAGCCTCATTTGAGAATAGTATGACATGTCTGTTAGTGTTATAGGCTTCATAGAGTCAAGTATAGTATGGCATGTCATAGAGAGCTATAGCAGCATCATATGAAGGTTATAACCTGCTGTTCTGTCCTACAGAGCCTTCGTATGAGACAGTGAGCCCCATGCTGTGTCCTCGTCTGGAGAACTGCTCTCGATCAGGGAAGGACTGCCCCTACGGCTTCCAGCAGGACAACAATGGCTGCCTGCTCTGCCAGTGCCTCAACCGTGAGTCTCATACTGGATGCAGAGGGTTAAACCCGGATACACAAACACACACATACCGTAAACACACACATACTGTAACTTGCTCGAAATGACGATTCCCTGGCACGTTATCTCCATAACACAAACATAAGCACACACACTAAGAAATATATGTGGCACCTCATTTGTTTCCATGGCTATGTAGTATTTGCCGTTTTAAATCGAAGGAATTCTCGAATGAAAAACCCTATTGCAAACTAACATGGTGTTGATGGTAAGATGACCTCCATGTGAACTGTTTCAGATGACACCTGCCCTGACCTGGGGACATACTGCTCCCTGCAATGCCCCATGGGATACGAGAAGGATAACTTTGGCTGCGAGGTGTGTGAGTGCAGCTCTCCAATGCCCAAGTGCCGACCCCTGACCTGCAGCAAGACCTGCCCCTACGGATATGTGTAAGTCTTCTGAATGGTTTCCACATCTTCAAGTTAAACACCTCTCATTATTCACCCCTTAGTTTCCACACTGATCAAAGGCTGTTACAGCCCCATTGGTTACGACTGAAGGCCAAAGCCTGAAGTAATGGTGATTATCTGGTTTATTATTGACATGGGCCCTGACATACAATCCGCCCTCTCGTTAGCTGGAAAAACACAATATTTTTCTACTATGTAGTTATAAAAAGGCCTCCTCCGCTCATTGTTTGTATTGTTCAGTCATATATTTTGTAATGATGTAGACTTCAACTGTGTAAACTCTTTTATTTTGATTTAGGTTATTTGACAAGTGCACTACTACTCACACTGTGAAATATTTGGTTCTGGCAATGGAACACAAGCGCTGTGTCTTGGCTGACAGTACATTTTACATTTTAGTAATTTAGCAGACGCTCTTATCCAGAGCGACTTACAGTTAGTGAGTGCATACATTTTCATACTGGTCCCCCGTGGGAAACGAACCCACAACCCTGGCGTTGCAAGCGCCATGCTCTACCAACTGAGCTACAGGGGACTATCAGATTCTCAGACTATCAGACTCTGAATAAAACATGACTGTAGATCAGCGTGTACAGACAACATCATCATACTCCAGGTGGAGTAGTTGGCAGGGTGCAGTGCCAGGTCTCACTGGGCAGAGAGGAAGTATATTGTTACACACCTGCCAGCCTCACCCTCGCCCCACCTGCTCAGATCTAAAGGGCCAATCAGGGCCAATCGGGGCCAATCAGGGCCAATCGGGGCCAATCAGGGGCCAATCAGGGCCCTAATTTGTGTCTCTGTCCTGACTAGTGCAGTGTCCGGTGCACAGGCCCCTCTACCCCTCCCCCTCCTCCCCCTGCACCCCTTCTCCTAATGCCCCTAACTAATTTAAACGTCTGGAAGTGCTCTACTCTCCCCAGCAGCACTTTCATTTCATAAATCATCTTTCCGTCTCAAAACAACGATCAAAAACACATCCGCACTAATGCGGCCTTTATGAAGTTTATACAGTGGGAATCTTCTGGTATCTGAACCATGCTCTCTGGAGCCTCCACTCAAGATGGGCATGATATGTCTGCACAGGATGCCAGCAGAGTCCCCCCGAGGGGGAAGAGGAGAAGGAAGCATTCATAAGCACCAGTTCAGGGCTGGCCTAAGAAGTCTGAATCCTCGATGAACCAAGCAATGCATCAATCTTCTAGCAGAGTGGTACCATTGTATACATTGGCTGCATTTATAACCTCTACAGAGAACTCGACTATATAATTTGTGGCGTAGCGACTTAAACACGATTAATATAAACCTCATACATTTCCTTGCTATGTATGAACAGTCCAGTTCTCTTATCTCAATAGTGTAGAGGGGGAAATCATGTGAGCAGTGAGCAGTGGGCTGTCAGAGTGGGTCAGAGCCCTAAAGGTGTGTTTACATTGACATTTGGCACAGTTGAGCGCCTCGGGCAGGACACAAAGGGGGACTTAAAGCGTTTCCCCTCCTCAATGGGTCTAAATCATCATTGGACCTGACAGGACGTGCACGGAATTCTCCTGTTGCCCAGCACGCTGGAATTTGTGCAGAGCCAGCAGTCCCAGCCCAAGAGCCCCAGAGCCCCAGAGCCCCAGAGCCCCAGAGCCCCAGAGCCCAGCGCGGTACACGAAATTCCACACAACACCTTTAAACAAAGCCCAGTTACCAAGATGGCCAGACTCTCTGTCTCTGTGTTTGTAGACTGAGGGCCCAGCCAGCTCAGAGCTCAGCCTGGCCTCTCCATACTGTCGTTTCTGCTGAATCAGTAGAGATGTGACCTCTGCTAGTGGCAGGGCTCTGTCTCCGACTGCCTCTGGGGGCTGTACTAGAGCGGGTCGAGAGCTTCAAGTTCCTCGGTGTCCACATCACTAAGGATCTATCATGGTCCAAACACACCAACAAAGTCGTGAGGAGGGCACAACAACGCCCCTCAGAGGCTGAAATGATTTGGCATGGGTCCTCAGATCTTCAAAAAGTTATACAGCTGCACTATTGGGAGCATCTTGATTGGCTGCATCACCGCTTGGTATGGCAACTGTTTGGCATCCGACCACAAGGCGCTACAGAGGGTAGTGCGTACGGCCCAGTACATCACTGGGGCCGAACTCTTTGCCATCCAGGACCTCTATGCCCTTGGACTAGTAAAAATTGTCTAAGACTCCAGCCACCCAAGTCATGGACTGTTCTCTCTGCTACCGCACGGCAAGCGGTACCGATTCACCAAGTCTGGAACCAACAGGACCCTGAACAGCTTCTACCCAAGCCATAAGACTGCTAAATAGTTAGTTAATTAGTTAACCAAATAGCAGTGGTGGAAAAAGTACTCAACTGTCATGCTTGAGTAAAAGTAAAAAGTAAAAATAAATGCTATATATGAAATTCTTCATATTAAGCAAAGCAGACGTCACAATTTTCTTGTTTTTAAAATTTACAAACAGCCAAGGGCAGACTCCAACACTCAGACATCATTTACAAACGTAGCATTTGTGTTTAGTGAGTTCGCCAGATCAGAGGCAGTAGGGATGACAACGCGTTATATTGATAGGTGGGTGAATTGGACCATATTGCTGTCCTGCCTGAGCAATTGAAATGTAACGAGTACTTTTGGGGGAAATGGATGGGAGTAAGAAGTACATATATTCTTTAGGAATTCTTTGGAGTAAAAGTTGTCAAAAATATAAATAGTAAAGTACAGATATCCAAAAAAAGTACTTAAGTAGTACTTCAAAGTATTTTTACTTAGTTACTTTACATCACTGCCAAATAGCTACCCGGACTATCTGCATTGACCCTGTTTGCACTAACTTATTTTGACACATCACACACGCTGCTGCTACTGTTTACTATCTGTCACTTTATTCCTAGTTATATGTACAGATCTACCTCAATTACCTCGTACCCCTGCACATCGACTCGGTACTGGTACCCCTTGTATATAGCCAAGTTATCGTTACTCATTGTGTATTTATTATTACGTGTTTTACTTTTCTATTATTTCTCTATTTTCTTTCTCTTTGTATTGTTGGGAAGGGCCCGTAAGTAAGCATTTCACTGTTAGTCTACACTTGTTGTTTACAAAGCATGCAACAAGTGTAGACTAACAGTTGGAGACACACACAGAGAAAGAGACAGAGAGGCTGGGGATGTAATGGATGAACCCATCTGGATCAGCATCATTTCTCAACCTGCTGCTCATCTATGTTTTATGATATCTATATCTGGATCCAACTAGGTCACATGCTCTGTGTCCATTCCTAACTGATCTATGGGCCGTTTTCTCTCTGCATGTATTCTCCTTAGCTTTAGACCATTCAGTGGGGGTTTAGTTTCATTTCAGTCCCTGCATAGATCATCTCTCAAACTCTTCAGGGTTTGTTTTTCCTCTGGTACTGTGTCTGCTCTGTACTGAGTTTAAATCCCCTCCTAGCTGCTCTGTTTACAAATCAACTATGATGAGCTCATAGTTAATAGAGAGTAGGTCCCTTCGTTCCTTAATCAACTTGGCTGCATTAATATCATCTGGCCCTGCTCTGGGCCTCACATGTCAGCCAAAGGCTTTTTTTTTTATTTTAGTCATTTAGAAGACGCTTTTATCCAGAGCGACTTACAGTTAGTGAGTGCATACATTTTCATACTGGCCCCCCGTGGGAAACGAACCCACAACCCTGGCGTTGCAAGCGCCATGCTCTACCAACTGAGCTACAGGGGACCTTTGGTAGCAATACAGTAGCCATCGGAATAGGTTGAATCAGATTGAAAGCATCTGAATTGGCTTTAAACCCAGTGCCCTAGACTCTAGCATTGGTATGGTGTGTTTGCTGTGCACCATGGGGCTCTCACGTGTTCCAGGGTGCTGCTTTTATCTGGCCTCTTCAAAGCCAGCTAATATAGCAGGGGGAAAACAGAACCATATGTCTATTATACCAGACCTGACCATCTGGTTCCACGGCAGCACTCGACCAGATCGCTCACAAGACTACTGGGTATTGAGCTTTCATTCAAATATGCGTTTAATATGCCCCATTTGAGATGTAAAATGGTATTCTTATTTCGCCCTCCCTCATTACACATCTGATAGACATCTGTGTGCTCTATCTATCCCAAAGGAGGAATAAGCACAGCTGTGAGATGTGTCGCTGTGTCAAGTGTCCCCCCTTCACCTGTGACAAGCACTGCAGCGATGGCTACCGGCAGAACAGGAAGGGCTGCTCCATCTGCATGTGCAAAGGTATGCTTCTCATCTGTCTATCTGTTTCAAGTGTGTGTGTGTGTGTGTGTGTGTGTGTGTGTGTGTGTGTGTGTGTGTGTGTGTGTGTGTGTGTGTGTGTGTGTGTGTGTGTGTGTGTGTGTGTGTGTGTGTGTGTGTGTGTGTGTGTGTGTGTGTGTGTGTGTGTGTGTGTGTGTGTGTGTGTGTGTGTGTGTGTGTGTGTGTGTGTGTGTGTGTGTGTGTGTGTGTGTGTGTGTGTGTGTGTGTGTGTGTGTGTGTGTGTGTGTGTGTGTGTGTGTGTGTTCACTTTCTCCCACTATGTAGGGCGGCAGGTAGCTTAGTGGTTAAGAGCATTGTGCCAGTAACCGAAAGGTCGCTGGTTCTAATCCCCGAGCCTCTAGGTGAAAAATCTGTTGATGTGCCCTTGAGCAAGGCACTTAACCCTAATTGCTCCTGTAAGTCGCTCTGGATAAGAGCGCCTGCTAAATGACGTAAATGTAGCAGATATGATTTGCTGGGACATTTAGCTGTGAAGCCTGTTATGAATGGATGTTTTATTTAGCTCCCGCTGAGGTCTGTCTGATTACATTCACCAACCACACAAGTTAAAGAAAGTTTGTGGACGGCTTATTTATATATTTTGTATGTGTTTATTACATTTTTTCAGTAATATTATAAATATTTTAGCTTGGAATATATTAGGGGTTCCTTGCTCAGCAAGATTCCGGTGCAGTGGCACCCCATGATGTTTACCTTATTTTGAGACTGTTGGATCAGTTACTCAGTGGACTGTTAAAATATGTACGGATAGGAAACTTTTTTGTGAACTGTACCTTTTTCCCTGTGTATAACAGTGTGTTGAGAGAGAAGAGACACATAAACATCTGCCCTGGATGTGGAAACATGATGCGATTCACTGAAATACTATGTTCTATTCAAAAACACTGTTCTCCCCAGACTTAACAGCCACACTGGGTTTATATCTCACTTGGGGGCCAGTTATTGGCAGATGTAGGGTTTTATAACCTCAACCTATCTCTCAACAGAAACAGAGGACCTCAGTTTTGGGTCAGGTGCCAAAAACTTCAGGGAAATGATTAAACGTTATTTATTTGTGGTGTAGCAGTAAATTGATTATTGGGAAATAAAGAGCCTTTAAAAGGAAGATCACATAATGGTGCTTGGTGAAGGTGGAGCTGAGAGGAACCAGGGATGGTTAGCAGAACTTTCTCGTTAGCCTCTAATGGACCCAAGACAATAACATTGGCTAGCTTTACTATACATTGTAAATTGTTCTTCTTAATGACATTTCCACTTTGAATTCACTCCAGCGTTTCTCATGCCCTGAAACATCCCTGTTGACGGTTTCTCACAGGTTCAAGTCACCAGTTTCCCTCCCTGCCTAACGTCTGTCTGTGTTCATGTTTTTTTCCCAGAGAGTGGCCACCTGCCAAGCACCACTGCCCCCGCCCCCATGCCCAGCTACTGCCTGACCTCCAACAGGCACCGCTATGAGGAGGGCGAGAGCTGGCATGACGGCTGCCGAGACTGCTACTGCCTTGCTGGGAGAGAGATGTGTGTGCTCATATCCTGCTCTGTGCCCAGTTGTCCCAACCCCGTGGTCAGGCCTGACCAGTGCTGCCCCACTTGTGAAGGTACGTCTCGTCTGGAGTCGCTTGGTCTACCAACACACACACGTCTGGCAGTTCACAGTCCCATAGGAGCTCACACCCTAGAGCCCCAGTCCACTTACTGTCCCATCAGTCAGGCCTCAGGCTCCATGAACACTCACACTTTGTGTTTCTGTAAAGAGCAACACACACTGATACACAGTTACACACCCACGCCTTTTCCTCCACACCCCTCGGAGTCACTGGGGATATTTATAGGGGAGTGACTCAGTGGACTGTTCAAATATTTAGGAGTGAAATAATGTCTACAACTTTCAGTAGAGTAATGATAACAGACTAACTCCTTAAAGATGTCAACCCTATTGCAGAGTCAAATATTTTATCTGTACTGTTGTACTAGACTAGAGGAAACTATGTCCAAACACAAATTGTTGTGTAACTACCAAGCTTAGTTCTAGTAAGATGTGAACCTTATTCTTTGTAGTCTTTCATGTGTTGTTGTGTTACTGTTATCTGCCTCTCCTAACCTGTGTGTTCTGTCCAGATGAGTCAGGGAGTGGTCAGCCAGAGGGCATGGACCTGGTGGTGTGTCGAGCCCCTGGGGGGGAACTCTATGTGGAGGGAGAGACCTGGAACCTGGACGAGTGTACACGCTGCACCTGCAGGAAGGGCCGCGTCCTGTGCGACACTGAAGTGTGTCCCCCTGCTGTGTGTCAGGCCCCAACCAGGAACACGGACACCTGTTGCCATGTCTGCCCAGGTACAGTACCTTACATCCCCCGCATCTGTCATAGGCTGCTTTACTAGGAAACATCTAATACCAAGCCATTTTCTTCTCTGTAAATGTAGAACTCCATCATCGTATTAGCCTTGACAAGAGCAATTTCAGATAATATCAAAAGCACTTACATCCAGGAATAACTCCAGAAGGGAATGTCAGTTTGTGGTCGGTAAGAGTAGGATACATTTGATCTGGAGCCATTATCCGCAGTATGTGGTGGTGGATTGAGGGCCTTGCCTTGTCTTGGTGCATGTTGCACTCTGGTGCATGTTGCACTCACCACCACCACCTCCCCCCGCCCCTCACTCCTCCCCCACCACCACCCCCACCCCTCCTGACTAATTCTGCTATATTTTGAGTGTTTTTTTTTAGTATAATGTTTCCGCCATTGTTTCCTATGACCGTAAAGAGCTTCTGAACATCAGAACAGCGATCACTAATGTCGATTTGGATGAAGATTTCTACTTCAACAAGTTGGCGGCGCTGGACATACTGCTCGCCCCAGACCCTAATCCCCGAGACTCAGAAGAGAAAGAGACCATACTATTTACCAAGAGAGTTTTCATCAATATTTTTAGTAGCCGTCTATTAACCACTATCAACCGATGCTGGCACTAAGACCGCACTCAACGAGCTGTATAGGGCCATAATCACACAAGAAAATACTCATCCAGAGGCGGCACTCCTAGTGGCCGGTGAATTTAATGCAGGAAAACTGAAATCGTTTCTACCAGCATGTCACCTGTGAAACTAGAAGCGACAAAACTCTAGATCACCTTTACTCCACATATAGAAATGCATACAAAGCTCTCCCTCCCTCTCCATTTGGCAAATCTGACCATAACTATACTGAACAAAAATATAAACGCAACATGTGCTGGGGACAATAAAAGGCCACTCTAAAATGTGCAGTTTTGTCACACAACACAATGCCACAGATGTCTCAGGTTTTGAGGGAGCGTGCAATTGGCATGCTGACTGCAAGAATGTCCAACAGAGTTGTTGCCAGAGAATTTAATGTTAATTTCAATACCTTAAGCCGCCTCCAACATAATGTTAGAGAATTTGGCAGTACATCCAACTGCCTTCACAACCACAGGCCACGTGTAACCACGCCAGCCAAGGACCTCCACATCCGGCTTCTTCACCTGCAGGATCATCTGAGGAGGGGGAGGGGGTGCTGAGGAGTATTTCTGTCCGTAATAAAGCCCTTTTGTGGTGTAAAAAGTCATTCTGATTAACTGGGCCTGGTTTCCCAGTGGGTGGGCCTGGCCCCCAAGTGGGTGGGCCTATGCCCTCCTAGGCCCACCCATGGCTACGCCCCTGCCCAGTCATGTGAAATCCATAGATAATAGATAACTATAGATAACTAATGAATGTATTTCAATTGACTGATTTCCTTCTATGAACTGTAACGCAGTAAAATCTTTGAAATTGTTGCATGTTGCATTTATAGTTTTGTTCATGATATATCCTCCTGATTCCTGCTTACAAGCAACAACTCAAACAGGAAGTACCAGTGACGCACCCAATACGGAAGTGGCTGTTAAGCTAGCACAGACTGGAATATGTTCCGGGATACATCCGATGGCATTGAGGAGTTTACCACATCAATCACCGGCTTCATTAATAAGTGCATCGACGACGTCGTCCCAACAGTGACCATATGTACATATCCCAACCAGAATAAATTGATTACAGGCAACATCCGCACTGAGCTAAAGGCTAGAGCTGCCGATTTCAAGGACCGGGACACTAATCCGGACGCTTATAAGAAATCCTGCTATGACCTCCGACGAGCCATCAAACAGGAAAAGCATCAATACAGGACTAAGACCGAATCCTACTACGCCGCCTCTGACACTTGTTGGATGTGGCAGAGCTTGCAAACTATCACAAATTACAAAGGGAAACCTAGCCGCGAGCTACCCAAGCGAAATGTCTTCTATGCTCGCTTCGAGGCAAGCAACACTGAACCATGCATGAAATCAGTAGCTGCACGCTCTCTGTAGCCGATGTGAGTAAGACCTTTAAACAGGTTAACATTCACAAGGCCGCAGGCCCAGATGAACTACCAGGATGCATACTCAGAGCATGCGCTGACCAGCTGGCAAGTGTCTTCACAGACAATTTCAACCTCTCTCTGACCCAGTCTGTAATACCTACTGTACATGTTTCAAGCAGACCACCATAGTCCCTGTGCCCAACGCCAAAGTAACCTGTCTAAATGATTATCGCCCCATAGCACTCACATCTGTAGCCATGAAATGCTTTGAAAGGCTTGTCATCAACACCATCATCCCAGACACCCTGGACCCAATCCAATTAGCATACCGCCCCAACAGATCCACAGATGGCACAGTCTCTATTGCACTCCACACTGCCCTCTCCCACAGGACAAGAGGAACGCCTATGTGAGAATACTGTTAATTGACTAAAGCTCAGCGTTCAACACCATAGTTCCCTCCAAGCTCATCCCTAAGCTAAGGACCTTGGGACTGAACACCTCCCTCTGCAACTGGATCCTGGACTTTCTGATGGGCCTCCCCCAGGTGGTGAGGGTAGGCAACAACACATCCGCCATGCTGACCCTCAACACGGTGGGCCCACACGGGTGCGTGCTCAGTCACTTCTGTACTGCCTGTTCACCCACGACTGCGTGGATGCGCACAACGATGATGAGACAGCCTATAGGGAGGAGGTCAGAGACCTTGCAGTGTGGTGCCAGGACAACAATCTCTCCCTCAACGTCAGCAAGACAAAAGAGCTGATCATGGACTACAGGAAACGGAGGGCCAAGCGGATTGGAGCGGGTTGAGATCTTCAAATTCCTCGGTGTCCACATCACTAAGGATCTATCATGGTCCACACACACCAACACAGTCGTGGGTGGCAGGAGGCTGAAAAGATTTGGCATGGGCCCACAGATCCTCAAAAAGTTCTACAGTTGCACCATTGAGAGCATCTTAACTGGCTGCATCACCCCCTAGTATGGCCACTGCTTGGCATCTGACCTCAAGATGCTACAGAGGGTAGTGTGTACGCCCCAGTACATCACTGGGGCCACGCTACCTGCCATCCAGGACCTCTATACCAGGCGGTTTCAGAGGAAGGCACAAAACATTTTCAAAGACTCCAGCCACCCAAGTCAAAATCTGGAACCAACAGGACCCTGAACAGCTTCTACCCCCAAGCCATAAGACTGCTAAATAATTAGTTAAATAGTTAACCAAATAGCTACCCAGACTATCTGCATTTACCCTTTTTGCACTAACTCATCACATATGCTGCTGCTACTGTTTATTATCTATCTTGTTGCTTTGTCACTTTATTCCTAGTTATATGAACATATCTACCTCAATGAACTCGTACCCCTGCACATCGACTCGGTACTGGTACCACGTGTATATAGCCAAGTTATCGTTACTCATTGTGTATTTATTATTACTTTGATTATTACGTGTTTTACTTTTCTATTATTTCTCTATTTTCTTTCTCTGCATTGTTGGGAAGGGCCCGTAAGTAAGCATTTCACTGTTAGTCTACACCTGTTGTTTACAAAGCATGTGATTAATAAAATGTTATTTGATTTACAGTAGTGTTGAGATGTGTACAGTCTAACTAATGCTTTGGTCACAGAAAGGCCATTGATCTATGGGCCTGGGGCTATGAGACACAAAGATAAGCCTGAGATTTAACTGACACACAGGACAGCACAGCAGCCATGTGTTCCCTATTCACCAGCTAGCCTCCTGCTAGTGTTTACTATACAGTAAAACCATCTTATTGCAAACACAGGCGTACAGTCCTAATAACCGCTCTGGATTAACATGTTATACTGCCGGGGTTAGCCTGGGAGCCAGGGGAGGATCTGTGATAAAGTTAACCCTTGGTGTGCCTCTCTCTCCATCCCTCCGTCCACAGAGGACAAGCAGGGTCCCCTGCTCCCGGTGAGCACCAGTGAGCAGGAGTACTGTATTTCCAGCGAGGGAGATGTGCTGTTGGCTGGGGACACCTGGAAGGCCAACGCCTGCACCAGCTGCTCCTGCAACAATGGAACCATTCAGTGTTTCTCCCAGCGCTGCCCGCCTGCCAACTGCAGGGTGCCCGTCCTGCGCAAAGGCCAGTGCTGCCCTCACTGTCTGGGTAAGTGAGTTTGTGTGTGTGTGAGAGTGAGTCTATCCGTGTAACTGAACTCCTGGGAATGTCTAGCTGGGTCAGAGCACACTGCCTTGTTAGCCTCTCTAATGATGTCCACTATAATTCTGGTGTGTAGTATATTTGTGTTTTGTGAAAACACTGGGACTTGGGGCAAAATCACATATTAAACATGCATTAAAACAAGTTATTCCTTTGGGACAAGGTACAGCTTGTTATTGAGAACCTTATTATTCATGGTGTAACTTGTAGGAAGGGAGGAACAGTTTTCAAACTTTTTGGGTTAGCTAGAATAAAGCAAGCGTGTGTGAGTCGCGTTCTGAGTGCCAGTTTTGCTGGCGCTGCATGGGCAAACACGGTTACTCACAGCAACATTCCATGTGACACAACCCACTCAGAGCGAAAACATTCCCCAAGCATCCGCACATTCACACGTGTTTCCTGTCTCCGGCTGAGCCGGCCTGCCACTCTCAATGCCGGCATAGGAAGGCAAAGCTCCATGTCAGCTTTTCCTATAGAGGAAAACCTTGGCACAGGCCTGCATTGTTCCCTGTGATTTGTAGCCATTTCATCTCAGCTTTGTTTTGGGTATTTGCTCGGTGGAAAACAGCACTTTTACATAAGACTCTTGACAAAGGAAGCTTAGGGAACACATCCCGTAAAACACACCTTATCTACAGACACTCCACCCAACCATAACCTTCTGTTACATTGATCTATGTGGGATTTGTTTTTAGTTCAAGTGTGTTTGACATTACGTAAGTGGGTAGCTGTGTGACTTATTTGTGATTTTCCTCTTTGGTTTACAGAAATGACAACAACTTCCGTTCCAATGATGGTGTCGACCAAGGCCCCCAAGACCAGGGCTACTACCACAGTGGACAACACAGTCTGGATCACCACTGTCACTTTGCCTCCTATCATTGCTGCTACAGGTACTTTCTGTCTGTATGTCCGTCCATCTGTCTGTCTGTCCATCTCTCTTTCCTTCTATCTCACCCTCTCTCTCTTTCACTATTTCTCTCTTTCACTCACTCACTCCTCCTATGGCCCACAGAGATGGTTAAATGATATTGAACTGATTGGTAACAACTGCTTCAGCCCTGTGACTTGGTATCATCGTCCATACTTTCCCAGCCAGCCGGTTGAGGATGTTTACATTGTTGTGGGACAATAGGGATGATTTGACGAATTAGCTAAATGCACACTGACACACATTCATCTGGAGACTGTATCTAACGTATTGGCCAGGGAAAATGGCCAAACACTAAGGAAGGACATGACCTACTTTTCATTTAAATTGATTAGAAGGGGAATAATGTAATGGAAATATTGGCCCGAGTGACAGCAGTATATGTAGTCTAGTCTGTGGGGGAGAGCTGATATTGATTCTCCCTGCAGATGGGAACAGCCTGCGAGAGAACTTCCCCAGTCAAACTGAGATGGCTCTCATCTACCAATCAGCTGTCTGGATACTGGCCGGTCTCCTCCTGGCCATCGTCATCTTCCTCATCGTGGCACTCCTCATTAACAAGAAGAAGAAGTGGGTGCAGATGTCCTGCTACAGCGCCCCCAAGAAGGTGAGGCATTGTGGGTAAAGCAGCTCATTAGGCCACGTACTGTATGCACAGCGTGCAGAAAAATACTATTCACAAATTAATTGCAACCCAGCACAGACATGCCTCATGATTCTGCCCGATAGAACCAATGAAATTACTTCATTTATTTGCTGTGTGTGTATGGGGTTGCTGCCCAAACTTAGACCCCTGTGGTGCTAAATCATAGCACCATAGCAGGGCGGGTGGGCCGTTGTTTTAGGATCTAATCTGTGGGTGGGTCGTGGGTTTTCCTTGATCTTCCAGCTCCTGCTACAACCCATGTTCAGGGTGTCATAAAGTAGAGATTAATGTATTTTTCCAGCACTTAATTCTGAAGGAGCACTTTGAACTGTGTCAAGTTTATCATAAAATGTGATCGTTTTACAACACCCCCATGAAATGAGACTGGAGTGGCACAGAAAATTGTAATTCGTCACATACTTTCCGAAAAAGTCTCTCCCGTCCTAACTAGACACGATAAATAGCTGACAAGACCTGTTGTGTGAAAGTAAGATAATTGATATTTAAAACCCTGGGAATTTTTCCTTTCCTCCTTTCCTAGACTGTGATCCTGAAGAAGCATGTGAATAAGAACTCGGTGGTGTACATGGAACCTTCAAAGGAGAACAAGTTCCAGAGCGTGAAGAATGACTGTGGCATCAACTTCTCCCCAGAGATGAGCTCACCATGTGGGGAGAGGATGAGCATCCCCCGGGCCAAGCTGAGTATGGGCCAGGGCAGGGGGCAGCGCTAGACCCTCCTCCCCCTAAACACCAACCCCCCTTCATCAGACCCCCAAACTCTACGTCGCCCAAAGGGCTACCAAGCACTTCCTCTTCTCTCTTTCTCACATTCCCATGGTGATCGATCCACAAACAATACATTGTACTGTAAAGACACACACACGCCTTGGATCCCCCACTTCTCCTTCTCTCTCTCTCTCTCTCTCTCCCTCTGGCAGTAAAACTGAGGATCCACAACGAAAGACAAAACAATGTAACTTCCTGTTGCTTTATCATACTGCTGGTACAGTGAGGAGAGACTGGGGAGGCAGGAGGATGTGGCCATTATGGGACTTTGCCATACAGTTCACCACAGACAGTGACAGCCAGCCAGAGAGGCTACTACTCAGCCAGAGAGAGCTCTGAAATGTGAACATGATCATCATCGCTTCTCACCTCCTCTGGAACTGGAACATGAAACTAATAGGAGGAATATAACAGCTTTAGGACAGGGGTTTGGGTTCTAGTGTAGAGGGTCTCTAGTTTGCTGTTTTCTATGTGCCGCAGCGCAGCACTCAATTCATCAACAATTGTTTTAGTGATGCCAATTTAGCTTGTCTTCCAGTTATAATCAAAATTGGATGGGAGGGTAAATCGATGAACAGATTAATGGCTAGTTCCATGACTCGCTCCTCTCCCCAGTCAATGACTTTGAGCAGCATCAGAACCCAGCAGACTCTATGGCCCAAGAAAAAAAGAGACCCAAACTTCTGCTTTAGAACGTGTGGTTTCCATCTTAGCTTTTTAAAAAATATATATTTCTATATGTAATAGTTGTAGTGTTTTTCTTGATCACGTCTCGTTTTTGTTATGGAAGTCTCCATGGTGGCAAGATTAAAACATTGTAAATGTCAGACTAAACATTCCCCATCGATGCAAAGGAATGACTCTTCTCTTTCCACTTACTGTAGTGGTTTCTGTCTGCCTCAAAGGTGATGACCAAAGTCATTCAATTCAGAAAACAACCAACCACCCTGGAGAGGGAAAACAGTATGAGTGAATATATTCTGCCTCAGCCATGAAGCCAGTGTGTCTGTCTGTAATACAGGAGGGTCCTTCCTCCTTCTCTACTCAATAACTCTTAGTATGATTTCCTTCAGAAGAAATCATCCCATTGGCTGGGCTTAATCTAGAAATGGGAATGGACTTCAAGATTAGGTGGATTAATACTAATCCAGACTGTTATTTTATAGTTTGCAGATAAGAGGACTCGTTACAGGAAACTTCAGAAGCAGTGCCAGACTTTCTGGAGTGACTCATGAGGAATGTCAACATACAATAGCCTCACTTATATAACTTAATTTACAGCCGTGCGTAAACATGAGCTACTGTTTCCAGAGAATGTTAACATATACATTAGTAGCCTTTATTTTATAGCTTTAATGTTTTTCATATTCATTGTTTCTCCTATAATGACATATGCTAGTCCAATTCGGTACATTTTGAAGAGTTAAACTGTTGTGCCATGTATTCCATGCCCAGGTAACCTGACTGAAGGTCTCCCCATTTCCACCAGTTTATAACATATTACAGTGAACAGGGGCAAGGGGCAAGGGTCTCAAGGAGACTCTGCTATGAAATTTAAAAAATTGTACATTACAACATCAGTGCATGTTCATAAAATGTAGCACTTCTGTTAGGATCCAGTGTTTTAAAAAGCTGTGGGTGAGATTCCTGGCAGGATAAAGGCCTAATCAGGGATTTGATAGGCATATTTAGCACATGGAGATGATGAACCACTCAAGTAAATATACTGTTGCAGCAAAGTCTAGGCTTATTAACAATCTGATCAAACAAGTGAAATAGCTGTGCTTTAGAGCATTACAAAACAGACTGGGGTTTAATAGGAAATCTTTGGATCCGATTTCGTAGTTACATTGCCAGTCTCTCGATACAAAGACCTTTGTGATGCCAAAACTGGGTAGAGACAAATATAGATTTCTATTGAAGAGTTTGAAAAGTAATTCAGTAGATTTGGGTCTGTTTGAATCACAACCATGTGGTTTAAATGAAGGGAAGAGGCGACTTGTAAAAGGTTTTTGTTTTTCCTATGTGTAAAAAAGGTAGATAAAAGTAGTGGACAGAAGAGTTCCTTATTTATTTTTTCACATAGCTTTATTTATTAATACTAAACTATAGTTTGAGTTAATGAGATGTGTTTTTGGCAAATGAACTTGGTAGCCAAAGCTGCTGTACATTTTAGATATTGTAAACCATTTACCATTTCTATCTGCTTTGTTATTCAATCTTATTTATTTTACTGTTGCAAACTGTAAATACATTTTTCTTAGATGTTGAACTATAACATTTACACTTAGTTTGAAATGACCTTTACATTTAACGTTTGGGAAGACATTTCAGTGCTTGTGACATTTTCATGGTGATACCGTGTTTACAATGCAAAGTGTGACGGAGCTGGCTGATGCCCCGTGCTTATAAAAAAAGACTGGACTGGAAATCCCTACAAATAAAATAAATATCCATATCAATCAATAGCAACTTAGCAACAGTTGGGTTCAAAAGAGGTAACATATCATACCATGGTTAGATGTGACATCTGTTCCTTTAACTACTTTTGCCCAGTGCTGCCAAAGGGGATCCGCTTCCCCTCTCACTTAGATTCCCAAAGGTTTTAAAGTTCCCTTTCTCTTAAGCATAGTTGCTCTTCTCTTCTTATCTGTGTTGTGTTAGCGGATGTGGAAGGCCAGGGATGTGTGTTTGGTGTTTCTCACAGTCCACAGGACTACACTACCAGTCAAAAGTTTTAGAACACCTACTCATTCAAGGGTTATTCTTTATTTTTACTATTTTCTACATTGTAAAATAATAGTGACGACATCAAAACTATGAAATTTTACATTTACGTCATTTAGCAGACGCTCTTATCCAGAGCGACTTACAAATTGGTGCATTCACCTTATAGCCAGTGGGATAACCACTTAACAATATGTTATTTAATTTTTAATTTTTGGGGGGTGGGGTAAGGGGGGGTAGAAGGATTACTTTATCCTATCCCAGGTATTCCTTAAAGAGGTGGGGTTTCAAGTGTCTCCGGAAGGTGGTGAGTGACTCCGCTGTCCTGGCGTCGTGAGGGAGCTTGTTCCACCATTGGGGTGCCAGAGCAGCGAACAGTTTTGACTGGGCTGAGCGGGAACTGTGCTTCCGCAGAGGTAGGGGGGCCAGCAGGCCAGAGGTGGATGAATGCAATGCCCTCGTTTGGATTAGGACCTGTGCCGATTCCTGTGTAAGGCAGGGTCGTACTCTCCGAATGATTTAGAGCATGAACCAACAGGATCGGGTCACCGCCTTGATGTTAGCGGAAACGACAGGGTGTTGTCCAGGGTCACGCCAAGGCTCTTTGCACTCTGGGGAGGAGGACATAACGGAGTTGTCAACCGTGATGGCGAGATCATGGAACGGGCAGTCCTTCCCCGGGAGGAAGAGCAGCTCCGTCTTGCCGAGGTTCAGCTTGAGGTGGTGATCCGTCATCCACACTGATATGTCTGCCAGACATGCAGAGATGCGATTCGCCACCTGGTTATCAGAAGGGGGAAAGGAGAAGATTAGTTGTGTGTCGTCTGCGTAGCAATGATAGGAGAGGCCATGTGAGGATATGACAGAGCCAAGTGACTTGGTGTATAGCGAGAATAGGAGAGGGCCTAGAACTGAGCCCTGGGGGACACAAGTGGTGAGAGCACGTGGTGCGGAGACAGATTCTCGCCACGCCACTTGGTAGGAGCGACCTGTCAGGTAGGACGCAATCCAAGAGTGAGCCGCACCGGAGATGCCCAACTCGGAGAGGGTGGAGAGGAGGATCTGATGGTTCACAGTATCAAAGGCAGCAGACAGGTCTAGAAGGACAAGAGCAGAGGAGAGAGAGTTAGCTTTAGCAGTGCGGAGAGCCTCCGTGACACAGAGAAGAGCAGTCTCAGTTGAATGACCAGTCTTGAAACCTGACTGGTTTGGATCAAGAAGGTCATTCTGAGAGAGATAGCAAGAGAGTTGGCTAAAGACGGCACGCTCAAGAGTTTTGGAGAGAAAAGAAAGAAGGGATACTGGTCTGTAGTTGACATCGGAGGGATCGAGTGTAGGTTTTTTGAGAAGGTGTGCAACTCTCGCTCTCTTGAAGACGGAAGGGACATAGCCAGCGGTCAAGGATGAGTTGATGAGCGAGGTGAGGTAAGGGAGAAGGTCTCCAGAAATGGTCTGGAGAAGAGAGGAGGGGATAGGGTCAAGCGGGCAGGTTGTTGGGCGGCCGGCCGTCACAAGTCACAAGATTTCATCTGGAGAGAGAAGGGAGAAAGAAGTCAAAGCATATGGTAGGGCAGTGTGAGCAGGACCAGCAGTGTCATTTGACTCAACAAACGAGGATCGGATGTCGTCAACCTTCTTTTCAAAATGGTTGACGAAGTCATCCACAGAGAGGGAGGAGGGGGAGGAGGATTCAGCAGGGAGGAGAAGGTGGCAAATAGCTTCCTAGGGTTAGAGGCAGATGCTTGGGATTTAGAGTGGTAGTAAGTGGCTTTAGCAGCAGAAACAGAGGAAGAAAATGTAGAGAGGAGGGAGTGAAAAGATGCCAGGTCCGCAGGGAGTCTAGTTTTCCTCAATTTCCGCTCGGCTGCCCGGAGCCCTGTTCTGTGAGCTCGCAATGAGTCGTCAAGCCACGGAGCAGGAGGGGAGGACCGAGCCGGACGGGAGGATAGGGGACATAGAGAGTCAAAGGATGCAGAAAGGGAGGAGAGGAGGGTTGAGGAGGCAGAATCAGGAGATTGGAGGGAGAAAGATTGAGCAGAGGGAAGAGATGATAGGATGGAAGAGGAGAGAGTAGTAGAGAGAATTAACACATATGGAATCATTTAGTAACCAAAAAGTCCAAACAAGTCCATTTAATGGCAATTACAGCTCAAATAAGCAAAGAGAAACGACAGTCCATCATTACTTTAAGACATGGTCAGTCAATACGGAACATTTCAAGAACTTTGAAACTTTCTTCAAGTGCAGTCGCAAAAACCATCAAGCGCTATGATGAAACTGGCTCTCATGAGGACCGCCACAGGAATGGAAGACCCAGAGTTACCTCTGCTGCAGAGGATAAGTTCATTAGAGTTACCAGCCTCAGAAATTGCATCCCAAATAAATGCTTCACAGAGTTCAAGTCACAGACACATCAACTGTTCAGAGGGGACTGTGTGAATCAGGCCTTCATGGTCGAATTGCTGCAAATAAACCACTACTCAGGACACCAATAAGAAGAGACCTGCTTTGACCAAGAAACACAAGCAATGGACATTAAACCAGTTGAAATGTGTCCTTTGGTCTAGAGTCCAAATTGGAGATTTTTGGTTCCAACCGCCGTGTCTTTGTGAGATGCGGTGTGGGTGAACGGATGATCTCCGCATGTGTATTTCCCACCGTAAAGCATGGAGGAGGAGATGTTATGGTGTGGGGGTGCATTGCTGGTGACACTTAGAATTCAAGGCACACTTAACCAGCATGGCTACCACAGCATTCTGCAGCAATACGCCATCCCATCTGGTTTGGGCTTAGTGGGACTATCATTTGTTTTTCAACAGGACAATGACCCAACACACCTCCAGGCTGTGTAAGGGCTATTTTACCAAGAAGGAGAGTGATAGAGTGCTGCATCAGATGACCTGGCCTCCACAATCCCCCGACCTCAACCAAATTGAGATGGTTTGGGATGAGTCGGACCGCAGAGTGAAGGAAAAGCAGCCAACAAGTGCTCAGCATATGTGGGAACTCCTTCAAGACTGTTGGAAAAGCATTCCAGGTGAAGCTGGTTGAGAGAATGCCAAGAGTGTGCAAAGCTGTCATCAAGGCAAAGGGTGGCTATTTGAAGAATCTCAAATATAAAATATATTTTCATTTGTTTAACACGTTTTTGGTTACTACATGATTAAATGTGTTATTTCATAGTTTTGTTGTCTTCACTATTATTCTACAATGTAGAAAATAGTCAAAATAAAGAAAAACCCTTGAATGAGTAGGTGTTCTAAAACTTTTCACCGGTAGTGTATACGGATGAGGCGTGAGTGGGGAATGCAGCAGACAGATCTCAGTCTCACACTCAGGGCTTCATAAAACCAGACAGAAAAATGCTGAGCCAAGAAGGCTTGACCGGACAACCTGAAGAATTCACAAGGTGGACCATGCCTGTTTCGACTTGTCTGTCACAGTTTGCTCATAAAGCTCAACATGAGGAAGTGAAGATTGCTCTGAAAACTGAAGAAATCACCCATTTAAGGAGCTTTTTTTGATAGATGAGCTTTTTACAGCATAACGGTTAAGCCTATTATTAGTGTGGTCACAACGGCTTTTCCATACCATCAGAGGACACATTCAACAGGAAAATGTTTGGAAATTCATAGTACTAGTCAGAAACCCGATAGATCTCTCAGTAATTGAATATACACAGTCCATAGCTAATTATCAAGTTTCTGAGCTAAATCCAAGGTTTGAGATGCTTTATTTTATTAATACATTCATTGTTTTCACAGACTGCTGCATTTTCATAGAAGAGAACCACAAACTGAGGAAAAATTTGATTTATTTCCATTATTCATCATGTCACTTAAAAAATATGGAATTGGACATTAATTTGGAAACATTATCTGCAATCAAAAAACCCTTCCTCTTCAGAATGTATATGAACTGTTCGATTAAGGCAGGTACAGTAAGAAGATTAGAAACTGTCTTTGTCTTCTTGTTGTAGGGAGGAGCACATAATGCCGTGAGCTTTATGGGGGTAACAGCTGATTGTACCTGGATTACATTTCAACACTGTAAAAGTTGACTTTTGCATTTGGGTTCACCCTCTCAAAAGAAAAGTCATAATAAAGCTGTCAACTTTTTCAAACAGATACTGTTTCACTAAATTGAAATGCACAGCGAGCCCGTTGTGCTGGGAGCAGCTTGGAGCTTGTCCTGGGCAGTAACACATCTTCGGTTTCACAGAAGAATATTGTAGTAATCGTCCTTGTAGCTGTACAAAACCACCACAGCAACCCTGCAAAGACAACACACTTGTCAAGTCAAAAACTTGACACTTAATATTTGTCCAAAACAACCCCACCATGTGTCCACTAGCAGACTGTTGATGTTTCCATATGCAAAGGGAATGTATAACACTTGCTATGGACATCAACGACAGACAATAACCTATAAGTCATTTCTTGTGTAAGCCTACCACACCAGGTAAAGTCTGTTTAACTGGCCAGTTCATTGTGTAAAACAACCTAATAGGACCATTCCTATTAATTGTCACCTTGATCAATATCGGCCCTAGCTTTCCATTCTTTCACAGGGCATTTCAGATGACCTGGCGGGCGGCTAGTCTGTTTTGAAGTACATGAAATAGTGGCTGTAGCTGTAAGACTGGGGCAGCTCAATGACTGTGGGGCCCTATGGGTAGTTTATAGGCACAGTGCAGCCAGGTGACTGTTGACTACTGTGACCTTTGGCCCACTCATCTTGTCCTCTCCGTGCCCTAGTTCCAGCCAAAACAAATAAATACAAAAAACTCACCATGAATATCTCCATTGTTAGCGAGCCCAAATGACGTTAATTTGTCAGTAAACACTTTTTCCTTAATGGTGAATGAGACACACAGTACACACAGGAAATTAAAACCAACTGCTCTGGGTAGTCTACGAAGAGCCCAGATGGAGCCAGAGAAAGAGGCTCTAGCTTATTCCTGCATTATCCCCATTCATGAAAGAGAACATCCATCAAATCCTACATAGGCTCCTTGTTCTGAGCATCCAAATAAAGCTAGGCAATGAAAACCAAATAGAGAGAGTTTAGCCGAGTCTTTGAGCAGGGTTATAGGCAGTGAGGCTGATATTAGCCCAGGCCCCTGTACAGACAGCCTGCAGTGGGGCTTAAACCCTGCATGTGACCTGGCCTATGGCCCAGGACTCTCGGTGTCACTCACAGTGGAAACACCCAGAGAGCAGACAGACAAACAGTCCAAATCCTTACCCCAGATTCCAAATGGAAATCTGAGGAGTTGTTTTAGAGACTATAGTTATCTCTGACCTACTCCGTTTGAAGAGTTGACTGACATCCACACACCTGGTGTGGGCTGGGGTTTTCTGGTGTTTGCTGGTCATAAAAGGAAGTCTGGTTATTAAAGGGCCTTTAATGATCTCTACCGTTTTCCTCAGGTTTCATGATTTTTTATAAAAAGGCGAGTCAGGGCCTGAGTCAGACCCTGGGAGCACACAGGGGCGAGGCGATGGGGTCTACTGCCCTGCTCTCACACTCTGGCTGGGCTGGGCTCGCCTGCCCTGAGACACTCTGACCCTGTTCAAAACAGCCCAGTAACCACAGGTACAACTATGCACCTTTTCATGATTTTGAAGCGGTGGATCTCCTCGCAGATGGACTTGAGGTAGCGCTGCTTGGGGAGGCGCGACAGCAGATGTTTAACGCTGATATTGAACGGCTCATCTCCATCAAACTACAGAGAGAGAAGTGGCAGAGAGAGAGAGAGAGAGAGCAATCAGACATTCAACATAGCCGCTGTGATCAAACAAACAGGGTTGTTTATGTTTATGTATTTGCAGTTACCGTGTCAGAGACTCCACCATATAAAATATATATCTACGGGTTGTGGATTTTACACATTGTATATTTTTGCCTGTTTTGGCTGGCGGTGCAGTAAAGCTTCCCAGTGAGGCTGCTAGGAGAGTTTAGAGTCCCAGGCCTTCACTGCTCTGTGGGGTAATTAGTCAGTCTGATGCAGGGTTTCCTGTGGGTCCGGGCATGCTCACTGTGTATTGTAAGTTGTTTTATACAGTGGAAGTGTTTTCTCTGACACTCACTCACAAAGCCACGTGTGACGTGAGAGGGGAACTGTATAAGGCCGCCATTCATTCTACGCTTTGTCTACTAACATAAGCTTGTGTTCTGAGCATTTTTCATCTTTATTATGTTTCTTAACACCATATAATTGACATTCTATTTTTATTTTTTTATGAAAGCTAGGGGTTTCGGCTTTGTTTGGCAGGCGCTGCAGCCAGGAGTTTGGAATGTGAGTGTTCACACCTTGTCCCAGCTGACAGTAACTCTGTGGTGTTTGTTGGAGGGGTCCTTGCAGGACTGCTGGCTGAGGACAGAGTGAAGGTGTTCCCCCACATCCCCCCTCCCCTCCCCAGACAAGGCTAAGGAAGGAGTCAGTACTCCCTTCTTTTTCCTCTCCAAAGGCCTGACCTTCCTGGCCTCCCTTTCTCCTTCCCTCCCTACCCTCCTTCTCCCTCCCCTCCTCCATCCTGCCAAGATGTCCTTTATTGGCTGTGCAGACGGAGGTCATGATAAGCAGAGCTGGGTACAGACCTCCAAAGACAGGAAGTTGATGAGGGTTTCCTTCGGCAGGTCCACCTGGGACGGAACAACAGAGGGAGGTGCGTTAGACTCCACTAACACAATGGATGTTACTGTATCTCACCATGTAATCCCAGACCATACTGTACATAGCATGCTGTCCCTTTCCTAAGGAAGTATATGTAACCTCAGCCACAGTATCCAAATATTAGCGATAAATATCTAAGACACATTCCACAATGGCAGCACAAAACAGAAGGTTCAGTTCCCACAGCTTAAGGTCATGAAGTTCATTTGCACACTGTGCTGTAGCAATTTAGTCAGAGCAGAACATTGACTTATTATTGTTCGTTATTTTTCATTCATGGTGCTCTCTCCACCACTGAGTGCACTACTGTAATTCATTCATGGTGCTCTCCACCACTGAGTGCACTACTGTAATTCATTCATGGTGCTCTCTCCACCACTGAGTGCACTACTGTAATTCATTCATGGTGCTCTCTCCACCACTGAGTGCACTACTGTAATTCATTCATGGTGCTCTCACCACCACTGAGTGCACTACGGTAAATGTCCTTTGCAGGAAATCATAGAACTGTCAGTGCTGATCTTCCATCTATGCCTTTATATTTTGGGGAAATTGCATTTTTCTTTAGTTAAGGGTATTACCTATGACAGACGGGTAGCATTACTGCTGATGTAACCTGGAAGCAGACTTCTAGCTCTGAGTAAATACATACCGGCATCAAGGTGAATATGTCTGTTATGCTTCAATAACTCACGCTCCAGCATCTAGCCTCTAACCCTCTGATGTGAACCAGACACAAACATATGGAATGACAAATGTATTTGGACTATGTCGTATCAGTAAATAATACGCATTATAAATTTACTCTGTGAATACCTCCTTTCAAATTTACTACGAACCCACAAATAAACGAAATATGATATCAATTTAGCTCCAAATTACACGCTCTCGCCTTCTGTTTTCTGTTTTGGAGCAACTGGAATCACTTTGTAGCCATCTACCTCCAGGACAGCTCTGTAAACCCCTCTGCACCGCAGAGAAGAACAGAGGGGAAAACCACTAGAAAGTCCAACTGATCAGCTAACTTCTGTCCTCATTTCACTATTTCACACATGGATCTATTTCACACATGGATCTATTTCACACATGGATCTATTTCACACATGGATTCAACAGATAAGGTGTAGAGCGGGGAAAACAGCAAATTACTTACAGCCAGAACTTCGATGTCATTGCTCTTGCTCTGTAAATTGCTACCTAGATTCTGCAATCTGGTTTGTATCTGAAAAAAGAGAGAGGGGGGGAAAAGGAGTAATTTCTCCCATGAATACAATGAAACAGGGAAACAAAAGCCACTTCATTCTCACATGCAATCCGTCTCTACGCGAGCCAATGGGGTTTAAGCCTGGGCTGGCCTCTTGTAAAAGGCGGCGTGTTGTCTGACTGTGACGAACGCTACAGTGAGACAGAGCTGGGAAACACAGCCAGAGAGAAAGAGAGACGGCGAGGTTGTCTCGGTCTCGTGGTCGGCTGCATGACTGGGCTTGGCCTGGTTTGTCTGTCTGTTGTGTATGTCTTTCTGTCTGTTATAGCCTACTCCAGGACAGGTGTGAGTGACGTGTGACTGATTGACAGACCTGAGTCTCGTAGCGTCGTCTGGTGCTAGAGGACACCTTCTCCGGGGTGATGAGGTTCACATTCATGTTACTAGAGGCACTGCTCCCGTGCTGCTCTGATGATCCTGCCAGACCACACCACACACAGAGACACACACACACAATCCTAATGAGACCATGGCAATATGTCAGAGCTCCTCTCTCACTGAACTGTTACAGCCTTCTCCCACCACCACCCACAGACACCAGTAGACTGAGAAGCCATCATTGTTAACCAGACTAATAAGTCCAGTGTGTTGCGTTAAGGTTTATATCTACTGTACATGTGAGTCAGAGGTGGTGTGAAATGTAACACTAGCATTGATCACTTTGCAGTTCACATATTCACCATCGCTCTTTGATTATACATTTAACACAGCTCTACCACCATGTAGGGGCTTGTATGGAATTAAACCCAGAACAAAGTAGGATCATGGAAAACCAGAGGACCATAATTACTGCTCTGCTCTCTGTAAAAGGCAATGGGGTCATCCTTGGACACAGGGTCAAGAGGCTGTTGAACTGTACCTGAGGTACTGACGAGTGATCCCTTGGAGTTCTGAAGAGAGACAGTCTCAGAGATTTCCCTGTTGGAGGAGAGACAAACACAGCTGTATCAGTCTCTTCCCCCAACAACACTGGAAGTCTATTACAGAGTTAGTAAACCGTGTTGTCACCTGACATTTCTCTCCTCATTGAATTTGGTCCGACATTTCTGAACAATGTGATCCACAAGGTCAGACTCTGGAATCCTCTTCTCTGACTGCCTTTCCTTCTCAAAGGACTTGACCTGGGGACACACGGGGAATAGGGAGGGGAATCAGACCTGCTTCCAACACACACTTTCATTCCAAATTCTCATATATACCAAACATTAGGAACATCTTCATAATATTGAGTTGCACCCTCCCCCTGTTGCCCTCAGAGCTTTGATCATCTGGAAAAGCCGTATATAAATGAATAGTTATTATTATTACCTTGATGTAGTTCCCCTCCTTGTCTGAGACCAGGGCCATGCATGTGATGCCAGCCTGTCTGCAGTGCTCCAGCAGAGTCTCCTGGGACTGGACACAACAACACAGTCAGATCCAGAGGGAAGAAAACCCTACTTTGTAATAGCCAAGTTAAAATATGGTATATACTGCTCCCAAGAAGATGTCCCAATGGGCTCCAGATCCTGCAGCCTATTTCCAGACCCAGACTAACATTTACAGTTACTGCTACTATATGTGGATTGACCAACTGTATGGTTTTGGTGAATTAGAACCTGCATGTACTTGCTATAGGGCAGAGTTCCCCAACTGGTGGCCTGCAGGCGGAATTTGGCCAGCGGGGGGTTTTATTTGGCCCCCCAAGTTTTCTGAGCCCCCCCAAAAAAAGAAATCATTGAATTTTCATTGTTGGACATTTTAAAAAAACACCAGGAAATCAGCTCTAAGAATCAGCTCCAAGTGATTTTAATTTGGGAAATCTGTTCCCAAGTATTTCCACGCTTAATAGAGAGACGTGATCATATACAAATGTAAGCATGGTTTGAAATGATTATGTTTTAGTCAAATATTACATCTGTTTGGGCTTCTTGCGGTCAATTTGCAGTCTACAAATTATTTGTAATTATGTTCCGGCCCCCCAACCATCCGCTCAAGAAAAAAATTGGGCCGCGGCTGAATCTAGTTGATGATCCCTGCTATAGGGGTTGTGGTAACAGTGGGCTACAGAGTTAAGCGAGCAAGTGGACTCCTTCAACACTATACAGTGAATTAGTTTGAGGATAAGCTCTCCCTCAGCTCTATGTTTCTCCTGTAATACGACAGTTGGATTATGGGAAAGTTAGTTTGTGGCGTATTCAGCAAGACTGTCTGTTTAAGAGTAAGAGTTGAAAGCAGTCCTGGTGGTTTAGTGGTGTGATGAAAGCTGGGCAGGTTTCAGTGGCTTTCTTATGTCTCATCAGTTCCTGTGCAAACGGAGAGTGTGTGCAGTACATGTTGGAATGTAATAATAAAAGCAGAAAACTCCCCCATTTTACACTGAGATCAGAGCAAGTGATGTGGTGGGAGACAGAACAGGGGTGGCTGAGATACCACTGGGCCACGGCAACGTAAAGCCTGGAAAATTAAATGCGTGCTGGGGGAACGCTTGACTTGTGCCTCATAAATTCCTCCAGAATGGCGGAGAACCAAGTTTAGCTTGGAACAGAGAGCGACTCTGCCCATTGCCCAAACCTGGGCCTGTCCGGGTAGTGCATTCACCCGTGGCTGTGTGTGAGCAGCAGAGCTGATTTATCCTAATCAAATACAGCCAGACAGGTTTCATCTGGCAGGCAACGCTAAGTCAGAACAGAGCAGAGCAGCAGATGGACTCTGCTGAGGAAATACCTGTACTGTATATCACCTCTCTGCTCTGCTCTCCAGCAGTCTCTCCAGCAGTCTCTCTCCCCACCAGCTTCCTCACAGCAGCTCTCACACTGAGACCGACATAGAGAGAGCTGAGGCTATAGGTCTGCCACTGTGGATGCCTGTGGGTCGACCAGCTTTCTGCCATTTGCCTCCCAGCTGACCGCAGATAGGCTTCACCATATTTGGCTAGTAAAAGCTAAAAGAGAGGAACCATCTCCGGACCATGAATTAGCATTTCCTGGAGATTTTGCCAGTAAAAACAGTGCATGTGAAAGGTGTTCGGAGGGGAGCATCTCAGCACTTAATAAACTCTGAACACTGCCTCCTGACCACTGGATGTTGTCTCTCGCACTACAGAGGCAGCCTGAATCCCCCCACACCCCCACCCACCAGCTGGCTGGCTGCTCCATAAGGCAGGCATCCTTTACAACTTGGGAGTGACATGTTGTTCCTCTCCAGCAAAGCAGCGCGAGCTCAGACAAAGTAACGCTTTTAATTGCTGCTTGGGGCTCAGGGGGATGGAGTTGGGCAATCAGTGATGTTCTAGAAAGTTCCAGAGATAGAACAAGAGAGAAAATGAAGAGTAGAAAAGAGAGGATGCTGGAGGGGGTGGGGTGGAAGGAATGATGGCGAGGACAAAGAAACAGCAAAAACAAGGGAGAGGTAAGGTAAACAGAGGAAAAGAGGATAAAGAAGAGTAAGAAAGTTTCCAAGTCAGAGGAGAGAGAGAGGAGAGCTGTCAGCTGCACGCTATGCCAGGTTGTGGGGGCGAGCCAGAGGGAGACACACACAGCAGTAGTGACGTACAGCTCCTGGCCTGAGATCAGGCTGTCACATAAACATGAAGAATGTGACCCGAGGCATGGCACCAGAACCAGGGAACAACACCCACATTCAACAGCAAGATAACACATTGAAACTCTTCTCAGGTTAAAGTTGGTCAACAGACAACTACAAACTGAAAATATAAACTACGTAGAAAACTCTTTACAGTAACAGAGATGAGGAAAGTCGACGATAAGAAACGACTGGGCATCGTATTTCTTAAACGTGCTACACTAACAGGCTTATAAAAGTAACCTCAAAATGGAACCCATTCCCCTGACTGTTTACAGGTCAATATACTGTCAAGGTAAATAACTCGGGCAGTTTGGACCCCCTGTCCATGTGGGGTAGAATAGAATAGAGGCCCCCTGTTGGTTAGGTATTGTCACAGCAGAAAGCGCTACGGGCTGCTCATCACTTACCTGTGACACATCATAGACGATGTCAGCAGAAACCCCTGCTGTCCACAGCTTCTGGATCACATTGATGGCCCTGCCCATGGAGGTGTGGCCTACTGGCACCACCAGCACATCACATGAACTGATAGAGGGCTAGGAGACAGGGAGTTAGGTTTAAAGATGCACACACACATAGAGCTCCACACTAATTCAGAGTTGATTACAGAGGGTTTGGGGGTAAACCCATCAACTGTCATTCTACAGTATAGAAATATACAGTAGAGCCTTTCCCAAAATAGCTACATTTTAGAGGAAGGATAATAACAGACATTAACTTTAATGGAGGCTCAAAGTAATAAGCCATCATCAAATATGACCTTCTGTGTCTGTGGGTCATTATCACTGATGAAGTGTACTCACCGGCTCCTCCATGTTGGCCAGGGCAGCACAGACCTTGTCCAGAGCCACACTGGCCCCTACTGCCGAGGGGACAGGAGCAGAGGATGCTGGGCCACGGAACTCAAGGATCTACAGGAAGAGAACCAGAAACCCTGATACTTCAACACTTGTTAGGTTGAATCTGTTGGAGGCATGGGTAGGATGGGGGCATTACCAGGTGGTCGTATCTCCCTCCTGCAGCCACGATGTCTGGCACCGTGCGTCTGCGTTTCTTGATGAAGGCCACAAACTGGAAGATGACCCCACAATGGTGCTGCACTTTATATACCAGACCCAGGTTGACCACCACCTAAAAGACACACACGAGAGAGAATCAATCAATCACTCCACAGCAAAAAACATTTCATACCATTCTCTCCATGCACGTCATACACCAGACTCGAGGTAACGATGAAGGTGAAGGGTGAGATGGAGTAGCAGTACCTGCAGCTTGACTCCCAGTCTCCTGAGCAGACCAGTGAGCTCCTCCAGGTCTCTGAGGCCCTGCTTGGCCAGCTGGGTGACGGCAGTCTTCTGTTTGGTCAGAGAGGTAATGAGGGGGACCAGGTCCTGAAGGTCTCCCTTTTGCTCTATGTACTTATACAGCGTCTGCAACTGGCAGGGAAAGACAGACAACATCAGACAGAGGGAACATACACCATCTGAACAGAGAGAGAAAACATAGTATATGTTGCTGAGAGCAAGGCCATGTTCAAGAAAGGCTGACCAGTATGTTCCCTCTGAGCAGAGTCAAAGTGGAGACACTGATGATTTCACCAGACAACAGTAGATACTTACACTGTTGTTGGACAGAGACAGGTTACAGAACTTGGCCTCCACCTCTCGCCTAGTCAGCTTTTCACTCTATGAACAGAGACACGGTACCATTTTATAGTTCCAGTGGTAGAACAAAGATGTTATGGACAAAACTTATATCACACAATCTACGCATGCATGGTGTATGTTTAATTTGCACATGAGTGCCGTGTGCAGAGTACTAACCATGGCGTCACAGAGGATGCTGGAGGCGTGGCTCAGTTTGTCCTCGGGGACTCCGCTGTGTAGCAGGATGGCCTTCAGCAGACTGGTGTGGTTCAGGTAGATGTGGTAGTTCCTCTCCTAACACCACCCAACACAACACACCATTACACCACACAACCAATACACCATGACACCACACAACCAATACACCATTACAAAACACAACCAATACACCATGACACCACACAACCAATACACCATTACAAAACACAACCAATTCCACCTTACACCACACAACCAATACACCATTACACCACACAACCAATACACCATTACAAAACACAACCAATACACCCTTACACAACACAACCAATACACCCTTACACAACACAATCAATACACCCTTACACAACCCAACCAATACACCACACAACCAATATACCATTACACAACCAACACACCATTACACAACACAACCAACACACCATTACACAACACAACCAATACACGATTACACAACACAACCAATACACCACACCACACAACCAATACCCAACACAACACACACAGTCATTTCTCCCCTGGTAGAGAGTGGTAGTTCCTCTCCGAACACCATCATCAAACTCAGACACCATTACATCTGAGCACAACTACAGTCCAGCCTCATCCCTAAACCACTACTGTAGGAGGACTGCTCATCCCTAAACCACTACTGTAGGAGGACTGCTCATCCCTAAACCACTACTGTAGGAGGACTGCTCATCCCTAAACCACTACTGTAGGAGGACTGCTCATCCCTAAACCACTACTGTAGGAGGACTGCTCATCCCTAAACCACTACTGTAGGAGGACTGCTCATCCCTAAACCACTACTGTAGGAGGACTGCTCATCCCTAAACCACTACTGTAGGAGGACTGCTCATCCCTAAACCACTACTGTAGGAGGACTGCTCATTTACCTAAACCACTACTGTAGGAGGACTGCTCATTTACCTAAACCACTACCGTAGGAGGACTGCTCATTTACAGTTGAAGTCGGAAGTTTACATACACCTTAGCCAAATACTTTTAAACTCAGTTTTTTCACAATTCCTGACATTTAATAGTAAACAATTCCCTGTCTTAGGTCAGTTAGGATCACCACTTTAATTTAAGAATGTGAAAAGTCAGAATAATACTAGAGAGAATGATTTATTTAAGCTTTTATTTATTTCATCACATTCCCAGTGGGTCAGAAGTTTACATACACTCAATTAGTATTTGGTAGCATTGCCTTTAAATTGTTTAACTTGGGTCAAACATAGCCTTCCACAAGCTTCCCACAATAAGTTGGGAGAATTTTGGCCTATTCCTCCTGACAGAGCTGGTGTAACTGAGTCAGGTTTGTAGGCCTCCTTGCTCGCACACGCTTTTTCAGTTCTGCCCACAAATGTTCTATAGGATTGAGGTCAGGGCTTTGTGATGGCCACTTCAATACCTTGACTTTGTTGTCCTTAAGCCATTTTGCCACAACTTTGGAAGTATGTTTGGGGTCATTGTCCATTTGGAAGACCCATTTGTGACCAAGCTTTAACTTCCTGACTGATGTCTTGAGATGTTGCTTCAATATATCCACATAATTTTCCTTCCTCATGATGCCATTTATTTTGTGAAGTGCACCAGTCCCTCCTGCAGCAAAGCACGCCCACAGCATGATGCTGCCACCCCCATGCTTCACGGTTGGGATTGTGTTCTTCAGCTTGCAAGCCACCCCCTTTTTCCTCCAAACATAACGATGGTCATTATGGCCAAACAGTTCTATTTTTGTTTCATCAGACCAGAGGACATTTCTCCAAAAAGTACGATCTTTGTCCTCATGTGCAGTTGCAAACCGTAGTCTGTCTTTTTTATGGCGGTTTTGGAGCAGTGGCTTCTTCCTTGCTGAGCGGCCTTTCAGGTTATGTCGATAAAGAACTTGTATTACTGTGGATATAGATACTTTTGTACCTGTTTCCTCCAGCATCTTCACAAGGTCCTTTGCTGTTGTTCTGGGATTAATTTGCACTTTTCGCACCAAAGTATGTTAATCTCTACGAGACAGAACGCGTCTCCTTCCTGAGCGGTATGACAGCTGCGTGGTCCCATGGTGTTTATACTTGCGTACTATTGCTTGTACAGATGAACGTGGTACCTTCAGGCATTTGGAAATTGCTCCCAAGGATGAACCAGACTTGTGGAGGTCTACAACAGTTTTTCTGAGGTCTTGGCTGATTTCTTTTGGTTTTCCCATGATATCAAGCAAAGAGGCACTGAGTTTGAAGGTAGGCCTTGAAATACATCCACAGGTACACCTCCAATTGACTCAAATGATGTCAATTAGCCTATCAGAAGCTTCTAAAGCCAATTTTCCAAGCTGTTCAAAAGGTACAGTCAATTTAGTGTATGTACATTTCTGACCCACTAGAATTGTGATACAGTGTATTATAAGTGAAATAATCTGTCTGTAAACAATTGTTGGAAAAATTACTTGTGTCATGCACAAAGTAGATGTCCTAACCGACTTGCCAAAACTATAGTTTGTTAACAAGAAATTTGTGGAGTGGTTGAAAAACAAGTTTTAATGATTCCAGTACCGTAGGAAGACTGCTAATTTACCCAAACCACTACCGTAGGAGGACTGCTCATTTACCTACACCACTACCGTAGGAGGACTGCTCATTTACCTAAACCACTACTGTAGGAGGACTGCTCATCCCTAAACCACTACTGTAGGAGGACTGCTCATCCCTAAACCACTACTGTAGGAGGACTGCTCAGTGAATAATGGTCACAGAGGCTGGCTGCTGCTCTCTCATTCAGTGACTCACACATTCTTAAAAGCTTTCACACATAGAGAGAGGGAATATCCAGTAAATGGTGCAATCAGGGAGAGGGCCTTTTAGAGGTGGCCTGGAGGCATGGTGATCCTCTGGCTGTAGCAGAACAGAGCAGGACTGGGCTCATGCTGGGTGAACTGGGCCTACTGTACCAGGGTTTCTTCTGGATCAAAAGGGGGCTTAGGTAGTGAGCATGGCAGGGGGCGCGGTCGGCCCGGCTGAATTTTAGAGGCCCCCATCTTGGCGGTGTAGAGACATTTTTGCTTTTATATGCCAATTTCCTGCAATTCTACACATTTTGCCATGCAGCTGAGAGAAAATGTTGCAGTTTTAAAGCAAATTTTGTGCAATTTTACATATACTGCCATAGAGCTGAGAGAAGATTTTTTCCTGCAATTCGATGCATTTTGCCATCGCTAATACTGTGTTCTAACTATACTGCTAAATTGTCTCTTATATTTTGGTGATTGTTAGTTCTCAAAGATTACAATCTTTAAAAATATATAGTTCCATTATCTTTCCTCCATTCTTTATATCTGGTTTTAGTCGTTTAAGTTTACACTGAAAGTTATTTTCCCACCCAAGAATTTCAATGGCAGAAAAATCCCTGTGTAGTGTCCTGGGAGTGAACAGGTCTGTGACTAGAGCTAGACAGGTGGTGGACAGTAGTGTCTGTGTGGCCGAGGTGAGACAGGGAGTGTACTGTCAGGGAGTGAGGGAAGGACAGTAGTGTCTGTGTGGCCGAGGTGAGACAGGGAGTGTACTGTCAGGGAGTGAGGGAAGGACAGTAGTGTCTGTGTGGCCGAGGTGAGACAGGGAGTGTACTGTCAGGGAGTGAGGGAAGGACAGTAGTGTCTGTGTGGCCGAGGTGAGACAGGGAGTGTACTGTCAGGGAGTGAGGGAAGGACAGTAGTGTCTGTGTGGCCGAGGTGAGACAGGGAGTGTACTGTCAGGGAGTGAGGGAAGGACAGTAGTGTCTGTGTGGCCGAGGTGAGACAGGGAGTGTACTGTCAGGGAGTGAGGGAAGGACAGTAGTGTCTGTGACCTGAACTAGACTGTGACAGGGGTAGTAACACGGTGAAAGGAGTGAGTCAGACAGGAAGTGGTCCAGTGTTCGTACCTGCAGGACACTGAACTCCTGGATAATCTCTGAGATGGTGAAGATGGTCTCAGCGTCAGGCAGCAGGCTGTTCGTGACAGGGACAATGACATCAAAGGCACATTCCAGCAGCTCCCTGGGGTGAGCCCTGTCTAGCTTCCTGGGCCGGAACACACGCTCGATGCTCCACCTGCACACACACACACCGTTACATTATGCTGGATATAAACATACGTTCTGATGACATGCAAAGATTGAACATGCATAGATTCAACAATTCAGTGATTGACTCCTGACTATGAGGTTTACCTCTTGAAATGGGTAATATTATTTCTGGCCACAAATCTTGCGAATGCCATCTGGAATGGAGACAAAAGAGAGACTCAGTAAACAGTGCATGCAGGACTACAATAAATCACTATGTGGAAACAGACAGTTAGTTCTTAGGTTGTTCCAGGGTTGTCCTGAGGTTATCCTGGCTCTAGTCATTTACATTTTAGTCATTTAGCAGACGCTCTTATCCAGAGCGACTTACAGTTAGTGAGTGCATACTTTTTTTTTTTTTTTTTCATACTGGCCCCCCGTGGGAATCGAACCCACAACCCTGGCGTTGCAAGCGCCATGCTCTACCAACTGAGCTACACGGGACGGCTCTGACACTAGTCCACTCATTGCGTGTAGTACTTCCTGCTTCCTGATGCTCACCCGGAGGTCGTAGGGCAGGGTGACCAGCATGCCGCTGTGGTCCATGAAGCAGGCCAGCTCACTGCCCTCATACAACTTCCTATTCCTTGGGAGCAGTAGGGGGGTCTGGAGACGCACAGCCCCTGGACAGACAGCCACAGAGACACTATGTTAATGTATGATAATATGTTTAATGTACACTACCAGTCAAGAGTTTGGACACACCTACTCATTCAAGGGTTTTTCTTTATTTTTACATTGTAGAATAGTAGTGAAGACATCAAAACTATGAAATAACACATTTGGAATCATGTAGTAACCAAAACAAATCCAAATATATTTTATATTTGAGATTCTTCAAATAGCCACCCTTTGCCTTGATGACAGCTTTGCACACTCTTGGCATTCTCTCAACCAGCTTCACCTGGAATGCATTTCAATTAACAAGTGTGCCTTCTTAAAAGTTAATTTGTGGAATTTCTTTCCTTCTTAATGCGTTTGAGCCAATCAGTGTGTTGTGACAAGGTAGGGGGGGTATACAGAAGATAGCCCTATTTGGTAAAAGACCAAGTCCATATTATAGCAAGAACAGCTCAAATAAGCAAAGAGAAACGACAGTCCATCATTACTTTAAGACATGAAGGTCAGTCAATACGGAACATTTCAAGAACTTTTAACGTTTCTTCAAGTGCAGTCGCAAAAACCATCAAGCGCTATGATGAAACTGGCTCTCATGAGGACCGCCACAGGAATGGAAGACCCAGAGTTACCTCTGCTGCAGAGGATACGTTCATTAGTTACAAGCCTCAGAAATTTCAGCTCAAATAAATGCTTCACAGAGTTCAATTCACAGACACATCTCAACATCAACTGTTCAGAGGGGACTGTGTGAATCAGGCCTTCATGGTCGAATTACTGCGAAGAAAGTACTACTAAAGACACCAATAAGAAGAAGAGACCTGCTTGGGCCAAGGAACACGAGCAATGGACATTAGACCAGTGGAAATGTGTCCTTTGGTCTGGAGTCCAAATTGGAGATTTCTGGTTCCAACGGCCGTGTCTTTGTGAGACGCGGTGTGGGTGAACGGATGATCTCCGCATGGAGGAGGAGGTGTTATGGTGTGAGGGTGCTTTGTTGGTGACACTGTCTGTGATTTATTTAGAATTCAAGGCAGACTTAACCAGCATGGCTACAACAGCATTCTGCAGCGATACGCCATCCCATCTGGTTTGGGCTTTGTGGGACTATCATTTGTTTTTCAACAGGACAATGACCCATCACACCTCCAGGCTGTGTAAGGACTATTTGACCAAGAAGGAGAGTGATGGAGTGCTGCATCAGATGACCTGGGCCTCCACAATCCCCCGACCTCAACCCAATTGAGATGGTTTGGGATGAGTCGGACCGCAGAGTGAAGGAAAAAGCAGCCAACAAGTGCTCAGCATATGTAAGAACTCCTTCAAGACTGTTGGAAAAGCATTCCAGGTGAAGCTGGCTGAGAGAATGCCAAGAGTGTGCAAAGCTGTCATCAAGGCAAAGGGTGGCTATTTGAAGAATCTCAAATATAAATTATATTTTGATTTGTTTAACACTTTTTTGGTTACTACATGATTCCATATGTGTTTTTTCATAGTTTTAATGTCTTCACTATTATTCTACAATGTAGAAAATAGTCAAAATAAAGAAAAACCCTTGAATGAGTAGGTGTCCAAACTTTTGACTGGTAGTGTACATAATAATATAACCTCATAAACACAATATGGAAGTTCAAATTCAACCAGTGTGCCCGCCAGTCAAATACATCTACTTCGCATATTGCATAATTTATATATATATTTTTTTATCTTGACCTGGACGAAGCAGATAATATAGAAACGGAAATTAAGAATTGCGGCTTTACAAATGTCTACAACATGTATATATAACCAAACATCTGCATATAATTATTGTCACCAGAGACAACAGTATATATGTGAGCAGATGTTCAAGTCAAGGCCCCAGTGAGGTCTTCATAACAGCGAGTTAGAGTGGAATGGGTCAAGTCGTTTGCCCAAGGGAGTAAACATGACTTCAGCTCTTGAAATGGGTCAAAAAAGTCCAGACTCACCGTGTTTCTTGAAGATCCTGGTGATTGTTTCGTACACATACTGTTGCAATTTAGCACTGTTGAAATTAAAACTACCCTGCAGCAAAACAAAACAAACGCAGTCTGTTAGGAATCAAAAGGCATCGATTAAAGCTCAAACAGCCCCAGCATGATGAGGACCAGATCACAGGAGAACTGTAGTGGAACACAGGAACAGCATCATTACTGTGTCTACAGTGACACCTACAGGAGGAGATGAGTCGCTCTTGCCACTTTGGACCATTGGACCATTCTATTCTGAGCATTCAAGACAAATTCTCCAATACTTGTCTGTCACAAACAGTGGTTTGAGATGCTATGAAATGGCAGAAAGAATAATGGTACCCAAGCTTTAACGTCTGGTTGGCTTTGTGTTGTGTTTGTGTGGCTAGGCCAGGTTTGAGGGGTCTGGTCCAATGTGTCAGTGTGTTGGCCGGAGCAGTAGGCCTAGTACCTTGTGGAGGTCGATATCGTAGGTGTAGTCCATGACAGGGGAGGTGTTCTGGGAGAACAGCTGGTTGACCATGGTACGGTAGGCCTTGCCGTTGACGTTAGCCATGGTGTGCTGCAGGACCTCGTGGAGCTCTGACTCCTCCATCTGGGGTGGGGGCAGCAGATCACTTTTCAAGAGCTCCTGGGCTGTGGGACGCAGGGCCGGGTCATGGTTCAACAGCCAGCCAATCACGTTCCTCTGAGATAGACACGGGGCTAAGGATCAGTCAATCAAAATCAAACTGTCCATACTGTGTAATGTCACTCAGTTAAGTTTCATTACCAACTTCCCATTGTGGGACTATAAAGTGAACTACTACTTCTACTTTTTACATAGAGTTTCACAGAGCTGAGAGTATAACTTGTGTAACATGAATTGAATATGTCCTTCCTCACCTGCATTCCACTCTTACACTCAGGGAAGTCTTCAGGGAAGTGGATGTCCTCCTGCAGGGTGGAATGACAGAGTAATGGAACAGCGATGAGAGATGAGTGATTGAGACCATTCCCGTGGCCCCCCCACACTACACCTGTCTGTGTTCTCTGTGCTGGATAGACTCACCATGCGCAGCTGGCTCAGGACTGAGATGCGTTCAGAGCCGGTGGTCATGGGCCGGTAGGACATCTCAAACAGGATGATACCCAAGCTAAACAGATCCACTTTCTGAGGAGAAACACAGATCACGGGATGAACCCTCTCCCCTTTACATCAGGTTCATACAGTCAATTCAGAATGATATATTTCCTAGTGAGAATACAGTATCACCGTTGGGAAAACCTTGAACTGCCTCAGATGATGGAGGACAGTCTGTGCTCCACCCAGGAGTCAAGGGCCTTAATAAGTCATTACAAGATAGTATAATTATTTTGAGACTACTTTTGAGATCTTTGATGAATGATTGTACTGAGACAATGTCTCTTTATTTTGTTCTTCTGAACTGACGTTGGTGCTTGTTCCATTCGTATTTGTTACCTGGTTGTAAGTGGCTTTGGTATTTCCTTGCACCTCTGGACTGACATACAGGGCAGTACCAACCATACCAGTCATATTCCCTGTTCAGAAATAAGGTAGAAAATATGAGCTTAACAGAGTCACAAAGCCTGAAACACTAGAGGCAGTTTGATGTGGAAGGATGTTGCTTCTAAGTACCTGTTGGGTCCGATTTGAGAATCAGAACAGAGCCACTGTCCTCAATATCCAGTTTACCTGCTGCAGCCTATGAGGAGATTAAATGTACAGTCAAAACCACTTATTTGTTGATTCTTGACTTATTTGGGCTTGCAGAGAAGGTAACAACACATTACAATTCTGACATTAGGACAAAAAAACACAAGAAATACACAAACGTGATACAGCGTCAACATTCCACTTATAGACCTCAACATAAACTTCAAAGTATCAGTTAATTCATCTCCATCACCAGGAGACAGCGGAGCTGAGGACATTAAGGCATACCATATTAGCAGGATGGTCTGTGGCCAGGCCAAAGTCTCCAATTTTCACATGGTCCTGAGAGTCCAAGAAAATGTTGACAGGCTTGAGGTCTCGATGAATCATCCCCTGTTGGAAGGGTGATGGAGAGGTGATCAATTAGTGCTAATTGGAACCATGGCTGGAAGCATGTCATGCGTGTCATCATTGTTGTTCTGGGCCGTGCTGTGACAGCTTGGCTTCTTGGTATAGAGGTAGGAAGGTACACGTATGCCAGAACATTTGAGCATTTGAAGAAATGAGAAGAGGATCTTTAAAACATATTTCAAAACACTTGCACCCAAAATTCCCATAGTTACAATTTGCCAAAGGTGGAGAGTCAGTCATCATTAATTCATACAGCACAAATTATATCCCATATCAATGTCCACCATGAACCTAGCAAATTGACATTGGGATCAGAAGATTTAGCAGATACTTGGAGTGGAACAACAGAATCACAAGCAGTGACTGTCCTGGACTTCCTCGTCCCCTCTCTCTCTCAACTCTTCTCCAACACTATGATCTTAACATTACATCTCTGTTCCACACCCTAAAGCAGACATTGAACCCTGCAGTGCACTCTGAAGGGGACATTGATTAGGGGAGACGGTGCTTTACAGACAGACCTGTTCGTGGATGTAGGCCAGGCCATCCAGGATCTCCCTGAAGAACCTCCACAGGCGACTGTTGTCCTGATGCAGGCCCTCGTCAATGGTGTCTCGTAAAGTGCTTTTTTCACAGTATTCCATCTGGAGGGAGGAGAGAACACAGGACAAGTTCTGATTATGAGGAGGTCCCTGATTAATTTTCTATCACAAAAGGGTCCCGGCCCCAAAAAGTTTGAGAACCCCTGGGTTAGATATCAGACATAAAACAGTGCCCTCTAGTGGGGCATTAGTTAAGTGCTAGTAAACTGAGCCTTACCTGGATGTAAAGATAATGTGCTATGAGCTGTGGCCTCTCCGAGTCTGTGCTATCTGTCGTGTCACCCCCCACTCTCTTGCTTGGCTCCTCCTAAGGAATGGAGATTACATTGAATGTAATTGGTGAAATTGTACACACTAGTAACACACACCATGGCAATCATGTGAACACTAACCTGGGAAATGCTGCCATTTCCATTGTCAAAAATGATGTCACTCTCTGAGTCACTGTTTGATGGGCTGGATGTAAACAAAACAAATAACAAGAAGTACATTTTATTTCAGTATATCAAGTGCAAAGGACACTGCACCAGATGTACGGTGCCTCAGAAGAACTCACAGGAACGAGGCACAGAAGACATCCTCTTCTTCATCATCGTCTTCATCGCTGGACTCGTGGCCACTACACTTGACGCTAGAGGACCTCTCGATGGAGGTGCTCCACTCCACCGAGCTGGCCAGAGCGGGGGGAGGGGCGTTGTCCTCCACATTGTCAAGAATGCTGATGCCCAGCTCGTTGAGGCCCAGAGAGGGGGCTCGGACCTGGGGCAGTTTCTCCGCTGTGCTCTGGGGCTCGGAGCTGTCTGAGCTCAGTACGCCTGTGGAGGGGGTCTCATGCCTCTCGATCCAGGCGTTGTAGTAGCGGACAATGTTCTCATGGTTGAGGCGCGACAGCAGCGTCACCTCACCTTTGATCCTACGGAACTGCTTACTGGCCGGGTTCACCTGGATACGCTTCACAGCATAGTAACAGCCATCCAACTTGTTCTGGACCTGCACACAAAGAGAGGGTGGGGAGACAAGGGAATACAGACATTGTGAACAATAACCACAGCCTAAAAGAAAAGAGGAAGGCTATGAAAGCTACTTACTGTCAGCTATGCTATATTAAACATGGTTTACCTTGATAACGGCACCAAAAGCTCCTTTCCCCAGCAGCTGTAGCTCTTCAAACTCGTTGAAATAACGTGAGAACTGCCTCTGCAGCCCAGTGCTGAATGGGGCGTTAAGGATGTAACTGTGAGGGATGACCGACGACACAAAGTCATCACCATTGTCTGGGAGAGGACAGAAAACACAAGTCAGGACTCTATATAGTGAATCAGGACTCTGAAAGGTAACCATCTTTTCACAACTTTATAGGCTTTAAGACTGAAAATATCTAATGGCCCTGTTCTGAACTTTGTAAAGAGAAGTTGTCACCTTCTGGACTAGCGTCCTGGCACTGTGGAGGGATCTTTGGAGGTGGAGGGTTGAGAAAGGGGTGGTCCAAGAGCTGCTGGGTGTTCCAGCGGTCAGCATCATTCAGACACACACACCTACCACACACACACGCATACACACGCACAGAACAGTGAACGGTGCATTACGCATGGAAACTTCCATTAGAGCTGACATTCATGTAGGGCTTTCCTGGCAAGGCCCACTGTGGACCGTCAACATTTTATTTTTTTGTCATTTAGCAGATGCTCTTATCCAGAGCGACTTACAGTTTGTGAGTGCATACATTTTTCATCTGGTCCACACGGTGTTACTCTGCATCCACAGTACACTACACTAACACTGGTACCCAAACACAGAGGATGAGCTCTGACAACCAAGCCCTGATTAACACATTGTCCATGATAGGAGGACAATGGGCCAAAAGGCACAGGAAAGTTCAATACATCAAAATGAACCTGTGTGTGCAATGTGCATGGTTTCTATCAAAAGAATAGTAAAGCTGACATGTTTCCTTAATCATCTAGCTAGATATTCAAAAAACACATGTGCTAATGAGTCATAATCTGTAAAACACGTTTTCATTTAACCACAGAAAAATGAAAGTTTTAATTGACTGACACCATTAAAATGTGAGAAGGTCCAGGCATGGAAGAAGTGGCTGAGACTGGGCTGTCTAGCTGTCACTGAGACTAGCTGTCTGGCCAAACTGAGTGGATGGTTATTGTCAGGCAGGCGTACCTGTTGAGGAAGTCCTGGAAGTCAGCGGGCAGGCTGGTGGGCACAGACACCGGGTACTCCCTGACCTTCTTCCCCTGGCTCAGTGCCAGCAGCATAAGCCCCAGGCTCCACACGTCCCCTTTCTTCCCAGCCTTGGTGGGAAGCACGTCCTCACAGAAGCGCACGCGGGCCTGCTCAAAGATGTCCTCCTTGCAGATGTCGGCCAGTCTCTTGGAGAGGCTGTAGTCTGTGAGACGCACGTTGCCCTGGTAGTCCAGCAGCACACTAGAGGCGCCCAGCTGCTTGTGGACAACGGAGTTGGAGTGGAGGTAGTGGAGGGCAGCCAGGAGCTGGGTGGTGTGCTGGCGGAGGCGGTCCAGGGGGATGGGGTTCTGGCTGGCCAGGCTCTGGCTCAGGCTGCTGCCCCCCACATGCTCCACCAGCAGGTCCACCACCAGGCAGTCATCCCTCTCACTGGAGCTCAGGGCCTGGTAGTGCACCAGGTTAGGGTGCTCCAGCTTCAGCAGTGAGTTCAGCTCACTCTCTGCCCCATGGATCTATAAAGAAACGGACAGAGGGTATTACTTAGTGTGTAGGCATCTGTGTTACAATATCTTGAAATCTATGACTTTAACATCTGATGTCAGATCTCAGCTAGGAATTACTCACCTGCTTTTTACAATTGTCAATCTTCCCGTTTTCCTCACTGGTAAAGAACTTGCCAATCTTCTTGTTCCAGCGTAGGATCCACTCGTATACTACAGCAAACTCTCCGTTGGTCGCATCGAACGCATTATAAACATTACGGCCAAGCCTCTCACTCTCCCCTTCCAGAGACAGACACATAGCATACTGAGGCGCACAACTCAACATTTGACAGTACAGTAAACTACAATGCAAAACAACATAATGAGAGAGATTTACAGGAAATTATCATCTCTTACCGAGGCACTTCCCTCTATGCACTATGAGGTCCCCCAGGGTACTGTTGCTGAAGTGAAGCACTTCCTGTGATCGTGGGCTATCCTCGCTGTATGTGTCCCGTCTGGTGACATCAAAAACAAATGCAGAGTTAGCTCAGTGTAGTTCAGGCACAGAGCTTTATCTTATGAATGCATGTAGCTGGTCCGTGCCTGTGGCGGGTGTTGGAGTTTGTTCGTCTCCGGTGGTTGGCCCCTCTTCTGGGCTCAGTGAGCTCAGGTGGAGGCCCAGGGGAACAAGGTGAGCTGCCCAATAAAGAACAACTTTCTACGGCAGGCTGGTCCATACTCTCAAAGCGCTCCTGGGCAGTCACAAAGCCAGAATATGTTTACATTTCATGCTCTATTTTGTATGGAGGTTTCTTTATAATATGTAGGTCAAAACAAGCATTATTTTAATTAATTTGGTTTCAAACAATATTATATTAATTGATGATCAGTATCCTAAAAACCTAAAGTCAAGCACTTTTCCAAAGGAGCGATAAGAAGTATTGCTTATCTTCTAAAAAAGTGAGTTGGCTAAATGTAAACATTTGAAGATTATGAAGGCACCTGTTTGGCCATTTCCTTTCTCCTCTTCTCCTCTCGTTTCTCCTCCTCTCTTCTTTGGATTTCAGCCATGATCTCACATTTCTGTAAAGGCTAAAGGGTTTAAAGCTACAATACATTTGTGTGTGTGTGTGTGTGTGTGTGTGTGTCTCCTCCTTACCGTCTGCTCCTCCTGCCTGCGGCGTTGGTCCAGTCTCTCCTGCTCCTCCAGGGCTAGCCTCTCCTGATGCAGCCGCTGGTTCTTCAGCATCTCCTCGTGAAAGGAGCTGGACGGAGGCTTGTTGTGTTCACTCAGGAACCCCTGGACATGGTCTGCAAGCTCATAGATCATCACCTGGGGGAAGAGAGGGGAAGGTGATGGAAAAAATACAGCATTTTGAGACTTACACAAAGACGTGACCAAAGCAAAATTATCATTGTAGTGTCTAAGGGTTCAGTGGAGATGTTTGTCATCTGTCTGTCGGCCTGTAAATGTCTGTCTATCTCACCTCCCCACATCGCTCTGCAGCCAGTTTAGTGAGCTCTGTCTGGAGGCTCTGGAGGTTGTCATTGGAGAGACCTTTGGCATTCTTCAAGTCAAGTTCTGGAGTCCTGTCTCCCAAACAAACAAAGGAATGAATGCTTAAAAACATATACCATTTTATTCCAAACAGATTAAAAGATTAGGCGATTGTCCCAAACCAAAAGACACGTTGAACGTACATATCAGGCACAGTATTCCTAATGCCAGAGGTGGCGGTTGTTATTCATATTTAATCAGACAGCAACAGCTGGCCTGACTACACGTGGCCCCAGTGGTGCATACTAGGCAATATGATCTAACATTATACATAAATCTAGGGCAAGGTATACTGTATGACATGCATTCCATTGATGGATTCATCTAATGCCACTCACACATCTGGGTATGTTGGTGGGCATTTGACCTGCAAGTCCACTGTCACATAACTTTCCTTCCCATTGCTTAGTCCATTAGGTCGCAGGCACAGGTATACCTCGGGTGGCCTTTTGATCTGAATGAGGAGAAAGCACAACACAGAAGGCCACAAATATAGGAATTATTCGTGTACGTTTTAGGTTAACTATATATATATATGCACCTGTTGGTGTAATCAACACCACATTGCATCAGAAAGTCAGCAATCAGGAACTCTATTCATCAAACAATTGTGTTGAATGTAGGCCTACCTTCCATGGATGGTTATTCCGCAGATCCTGAAAATCATCTCCAAAAATGGATGCAAGCGCTTCTAGTTCGTTTTCCTGTTGAACAGAATAGTCGTCGGTCCCACTCCCAGCTGTAGAAGTCTGATGACAACTCATCCTACTAGCTGAGCTACATAGGCACTCATGTCTCGCGCATACACACCTCTCAATATTGAGGCGATTTAGTTACAACCTATTGTAACACTCGTCTTTTGTTACTTGGTAACATTACAATATCAACAATGTATCTGATTCCAAAAAGTTGAACTTCCAGCATTGACAGCACCACGGAATCACAACATTGTTGCAACGCTGGCGCATGGCAGGCGTCATACGTGCCGTCGCAGATGTAACGTCATTACGTAACAGTTCCTAAAAATAACTGTAGATGGCAGTAATGCACATCTCTAAAGAAAAATGAAATACAAAAAAGAAATTTAAATTATGCAATCCCATTCATCACACATCTGTCCACCTGACAGCTTTATTGTCAACCACAATTTGTTGTGTCATTATCAGGACCAAGAATTCCTGTCTCAAGTGACAGTCAATACTCTGGATGATGGTGATGAGGAGGCTGAGTGGCTAGGTAGGGAAAACAGGCATAATAAAAAACAAATATTCTGGTTAAATTATTTGTATAATAGATATTCAATGGTATAAGCTATTGGTGTAAAAGGCTCTGGGTGTGGTGAGAGAGTTCAAAGAGATGCTTGTGCTCAGAACAAGCTATGTGACATTGAGTTCTGTGAGGTTCTGAAAATGATCTTTCAGATAACATCAGTGTCAGTTTAACTGTTAACTCCCATCACTCATTGCCTGGCAGAAGAACATAATTGCACTTCAATGGAATTCTAAACCATAGCATCCAACACCTATCTATCTGTGGACATAGAGAGAAAGTAACACCTATAAATAGGCAAGCCTAACATCCAGTGGGACAGCCTAGAGGAAAGAAATGCTCTCATATAATCCAGCCATGGATATAAACTAACAAGACTCCAAAGATAACCATCCGCTACAGTGTCCCCCTGTCTGATCCGCCTGCCTTAAGTCATAATATACCTGACAACATCAGATTGACCACTGCCATTGATAATACACTGTACCAATAGTGCTCAGGTCAGTAATATGGGTAAAACATGTTATAGAAAATAATAATTCTGATCATTCAATAGGTGATTGATTTCTCAATAAATTTGAAAAGTTGAAACTTGAAAGACAGTATTTCCTCATAAGGTACATTGAGAAAAATAAAGGCTGTTGAAGGGGGTGGGACGAATAAGGATCTCAGTTTGCAAACTCAACATGGAGGGACTCCACTGGATGCACGTTAATGACACCTGTTACACACCATGACCCTAAAAGGAGAGAGCAGGGCCAATCAGGGCTCAGCACAGCTGACGCAGACCAGTCAGACCGCCAGCTCGGAAGAAGGACGAGAGGTCATAACCCTCAGCTGTTCACCACGTTTAGCGGCTCAGCTCACATACCAGCAGCAGCCTGGCCCACTGACATATACAGTGTTTTACTGACTGGACCGAAGCCTCTCTCATTCGTCTCCTCAACAAGGCCCACAAATCTACTATTTCCGCTCACACCTAGTGTGTGTCAACAAAAACACTGTGACACGTCTGCTCAATGTTTTTAGAGAGAATTGTATGATGTACAATTTCAGTAAATGTCTTAATCACTTTTCAGATTTCTCCCAAACCCTGTCCTTTAAAACGACAACACCATCAATCTAAATTTACAATGACCACTGCACCTTTTTGTGTGATCTCAGAAATCATGGTTGATCAAAACCTTGATTCAGAATTCTTTAAAGTGTCAAATGGATGCACTGAACTCGCTATAATTGAACTATTCTGTTTGTAAAAAACAAAATAAATTAAATTAAAGCTATACCTACAGAAAAGTATTCAAATAAAGAAGACCATTGTAATTGCATTTTAATGGTCTGACACCTTTGTGAATACCATTATAACATCCAGACATCTTTATAAAATAAAACATTCCCTTTTCACTTCTCATCTTATTTCTAAAGCAGATCAGTCTGGCATTTCTCAGGAAGCATCTCACCATTTTTGAGGAGTCCCATCTCACCCGATCGTTGTTTTGTTTTTTTCTAGGAGCTCTTATTTGGACTTGTGTAAACTCCAGGCTCCACCCCTGGTCCCCAGACCCCACTCTTATTTAAGGGGTCCTCTCCCCCTCCTCCTTTGTCCCAGTGGAAGCATCAGTCTTGCGCTACAACTTGGTGAGTGAATATTACTGCATATTACTACTTATTTCTATGGAAAACATGAGACTTTGTGGGGACTGGGTGTCCACATTTTAGTTATTTGAGTACATCTTCACCTGGCGCTGACCAGACAGAGCTGGTCTCTGACATTGGATGATATAGTGTTTTCTACCTGGATGGATTGTTTGTAGCTTTATTGAGGCATGAACTAGAAGTACACTTCAAACTGAAGTCACTGCTTATTGGAATGGATTCATGGTATCGCACCAAAATAATAAGAGACATTCAGCTATTCAGAGATTTGTGAATAATAAACGATTTATCATCAGGTGATTGTGGGGAGGGTGCAGGTAAATACAGTGTAATAACTTAGTAAAAAGTTACCAATACACTGATCAATGCTGGTTTGGTCAGGTACATTGAGACAGAACTAAATACTGTCTAATGAATGAAGCCATTATAGGCAGATGGGGCAAGGAGCCATGCTGTAAACAGAGGTGTTACAATGTGCCGACAGCTGCTCTCTGGGTTGGCTCCAACTCTCCCATGTCTGAAATAGCTCCAGATAGGGATCCATGGAGGTCAATGTGGCACTTGGTGTAGCTGTGTGTGGAGCAACCAGGGTGTGGAGCTTAAAATAGATAGCTGGTCTTGCTTGCTGCTTCCACTGATATGCCCCTTTTTGGAGCTACCTCGGCAGCCCTAAAATGTCCCAGGAACAATCATGACAGCCGATACACAGTATCACTAACTTCACAACATGTTTGGGACAAAAATACAATGGGATAAATTGTAGATAGCTGCTATTTTAAATACAAGGAATTGATAACATTTTCAAAACAGTTTTAAGACAAGTTGTACAACTTTGACTACAGTAGTAAAATCAATATATTATTCCAAAAGACAAAAAAATGCAGAATATCGAAAACATGGATTCGGATGCAAACATTTTTCATGTCAGTACAGTAATAAATTATTTGTGGTGGTGAACAAACCAATTAGGATAGGCCTGCTGGAAATTCCTTCAATGGTGGGGGGCGGGGGGGGGGGTTGCAGCTGTTCCCACCACTCAGTCTCACCCCTGTGTCTCTCTGTCACCCACAGACCATCCCAGTAAAACCATGTGTGACGACGACGAGACTACCGCCCTTGTGTGCGACAATGGCTCTGGCTTGGTCAAGGCTGGATTTGCCGGAGATGACGCTCCCCGTGCTGTCTTCCCTTCCATTGTTGGAAGGCCCCGCCACCAGGTACTGTACCATAATGTAACTGGGGCTGGTATAGATTGTGCCATTGTATAGACACACATTTTTAGGGGGGAACTGTCAAAAAGGGTGCAGTAGGTTAGTTTGCCGTCTGTCATGTAGGCTACAGTGATGATTGTGTCACTCCTAACCTCTCTTCTTTCTCATCCAGGGTGTGATGGTGGGTATGGGTCAGAAGGACAGCTATGTAGGTGATGAGGCTCAGAGCAAGAGGGGTATCCTGACTCTGAAGTACCCCATTGAGCATGGCATCATCACTAACTGGGACGATATGGAGAAGGTGGGTCCTAGATTACAACACACTTCTTACAACATCTTGCAGAGTTTTGGCATTGACTTTGGCACAAGACTAGAAGTAAATACATGCAGTATAATAATATAATAAACTGGAAACTTTTACTATTTCGTATCCTTGCAGATCTGGCACCACACCTTCTACAATGAGCTGCGTGTGGCCCCTGAGGAGCACCCCACCCTGCTGACAGAGGCTCCCCTGAACCCCAAGGCCAACAGAGAGAAGATGACCCAGGTACTTTGAACTCCATTATCCCCCCACTTTATTTCAAATCCATGTCTTTTGTTAGAGGATAACAGTCAAGCAAACTTCTGAAATGTTTATCTTATTCTTGCCTTATAGATCATGTTTGAGACCTTCAACGTTCCTGCTATGTATGTGGCCATCCAGGCTGTCCTGTCCCTGTACGCCTCCGGTCGTACCACCGGTCAGTATTCCAGGACACTGCCTCTTATATGTACCAATGTCAACCATGGATAGTTGCTATATTACTGATACAATATGTAGTTTGCTTCCACACATTAGTGGTCAATATGACAACAGGAGACAGCTCAAATCAAGTTGATGCACCTGTATTACAATAGTGTTGAGTAAGTGAGCTGTTTAGTTGTCAGAGACAGCTAGATTAATTGTTCCTTTGTTGTCGAGGACATGTTATTCCCTGTTTGGCAGGGTATGTGGCAGGGTATGTGGCACACCTGTAGCCATTGATGTCAGCTGCATTGTTTGTTAGTTTATGATGTGACATATGCTTGGAGTGATTCCCATATGGCAGCCGGCCATTCCTCTGTCAGTCATGTCTGTCTGACTGACTAATGTGCTTTGTCTGCTCCCTATAGGTATTGTGCTGGACTCTGGTGATGGTGTGACCCACAACGTCCCCATCTATGAGGGTTATGCTCTTCCCCACGCCATCATGCGCCTGGATCTGGCTGGTCGCGATCTGACTGACTACCTGATGAAGATCCTGACAGAGCGTGGCTACTCTTTCGTGACCACTGGTAAGGAGAGCTAACTTCTGTCAATGAGGTTATGCCTCATTTTTTATGTTATTGTAATTTCTGTGTGTTTAGAGCAATCTCTTGCTGTGCAGTTGTGTAAATGTTCTTCCTCTCATCATTGAAACTTGCCCCCCTTAGCTGAACGTGAGATTGTGCGTGACATCAAGGAGAAGCTGTGCTATGTGGCTCTGGACTTCGAGAATGAGATGGCCACCGCTGCCTCTTCCTCCTCCCTGGAGAAGAGCTACGAGCTTCCTGACGGTCAGGTCATTACCATTGGTAATGAGCGTTTCCGTTGCCCAGAAACCCTCTTCCAGCCTTCCTTCATTGGTAAGTTATACTTACAGTATGCATTTTGCATTATACATTATGGTTGCTATACAGTGTGTTATTACAATCAATGTTTTTGTGTTTCTGTGTCAATTAATTATCTTCTGTAATATCTTCTACCAGGTATGGAGTCCGCTGGTATCCATGAGACCGCCTACAACAGCATCATGAAGTGTGACATTGACATCCGTAAGGACCTGTACGCCAACAATGTGCTGTCTGGTGGTACCACCATGTACCCTGGTATTGCTGACCGTATGCAGAAGGAGATCACAGCCCTGGCCCCCAGCACCATGAAGATCAAGGTGAGGGACAATCCCACCATGTTAAACTTCAGGAAGTTAACCATCAAGTTAATTGTAATGTTCCGATTTACAGTGGGTCTACGTGAAACTAAGCAATTCCCTGTACTCTGTTTATCTTCTAGATCATCGCTCCCCCCGAGCGTAAGTACTCCGTCTGGATTGGTGGCTCCATTTTGGCTTCCCTGTCCACCTTCCAGGCAATGTGGATCAGCAAGCAGGAGTACGATGAGGCAGGCCCCTCCATTGTCCACAGGAAGTGCTTCTAAACAATCAAACCCCCCTTCACCCATACATTTATACTGTGTTGTTTACTGTATATACGTGTACTGTTGTAATAAAAATAGATCCTTGTAACAGTACATTTGTTCTGACTCTTTTCTGCATTGCTATAGGCCTATTAAGATGCCATACACCAACTTGAATCTATCTATCTATCTATCTATCTATCTATCTATTATCTATCTGTAATTCGAATCTACAAGTGCATTGAAATATTGAATATTGAAAAAGTAAATACAATTTTTACAGTATTTTTGGTATTCATATTTTCCTTTGACTGATTGATTGATTGCATTTATTAGACAATTTTTTAAATACATACATAAGGGCACTCCAGCCGGTGACGCCTCCATATACAATTTAAGAAAATCATAAAGGATAACACAATAAAACTTAAAAGCTTATTTCCATTGTGGTCCTTTTGGAGGGGAAGCTCATTTGTACAGTTCCATTTCCTAATAAAACTCTGGAAAGGTACATCTCCCTTGTCTCACATACCCTTACTATATAAAACAATAAATCCCTAATATACAGTATACAAGACAATCACAATATGATACACAATAGGTGTCACGATCGCCAATGAAGTATGACCAAAGCGCAGCGTTGGGAGTGAACATGATGATTTTAATTTTGAAACACACGACAAAACAAAACACGATCCGTGACGTCCTCAGTTACACCGACTGAATAAAGAACAAAAACCCACAACCACAAGGTGAACACAGACATTTAAATATGGCTCCCAATCAGAGATAACGAGCCGACAGCTGACACTCGTTACCTCCGATTGGGAGTCACTGACCAAACATAGAACGCGAACACCTAGACACTACCCACAGTACACAACACACGGAAATCTACACACCCTGACTAAACACAAAAAGTCCTAGAACCAGAGTGTGACAATAGGCACCAAAAGGCAGACCATATGCTATTCCGGGCATTTTCGTCTCACCCTTACAGTCTTACAACATGCTGCTATTTAGCAATCTTTCAGTGAGAACTTGAAACTGCCTTTGGAGGTTATAAGTTTGAAATTCTTTGGAAGACTATTCCAAAGAATGGCAGCTGAGTACAAAAAAGTGTATTTCCCCAGACCACTATTAAATCTAAAAGGAACAACGTCAATTTCACTCCTTCTAGTGGAATAGTTATGGTTATCTCGGACCAAGTTGAAGTAGTTACATACTGTAGATACCTGGGGACCATACTGTGGACAACCATATGTACAAGACACAATTTAATCTGAGAGACTCTCTCCTCCACTTTGATACATATGAGGCTTTCAAAGTGGGAATGGTCAAGATGAGTAGGTGCTGAAAGTTTTAAAATAATCCTGACTAATTTACTCTGAGATGTCTGCAGTTTATTATTTAGTGGGGGTACTATTGTACCAGGAAGAGCACACATAGTCAAAGTGGCACTGAACAAGAGCCCCTGCCAATGCCACCGATGCGTTCATATCCAGATATTTGGAGCTACTTGCCAGAAACCTAATTTTATGGTTCACTTTGGAGATAACTTTTTGTGCCATGCTCTCCCCTGTCAGATGGTTATCTAGCACACATCCAATATAATTAACTGAGTGTTTTGCTGTGACTACTATGTCACCTACAGTGGGGAAAAATGTATTTAGTCAGCCACCAATTGTGCAAGTTCTCCCACTTAAAAAGATGAGAGAGGCCTGTAATTTTCATCATAGGTACACGTCAACTATGACAGACAAATTGAGGAAAAAAAATCCAGAAAATCACATTGTAGGATTTTTAATGAATTTATTTGCAAATTATGGTGGAAAATAAGTATTTGGTCAATAACAAAAGTTTCTCAATACTTTGTTATATACCCTTTGTTGGCAATGACACAGGTCAAACGTTTTCTGTAAGTCTTCACAAGGTTTTCACACACTGTTGCTGGTATTTTGGCCCATTCCTCCATGCAGATCTCCTCTAGAGCAGTGATGTTTTGGGGCTATCGCTGGGCAACACGGACTTTCAACTCCCTCCAAAGATTTTCTATGGGGTTGAGATCTGGAGACTGGCTAGGCCACTCCAGGACCTTGAAAAGCTTCTTACGAAGCCACTCCTTCGTTGCCCGGGCGGTGTGTTTGGGATCATTGTCATGCTGAAAGACCCAGCCACGTTTCATCTTCAATGCCCTTGCTGATGGAAGGAGGTTTCCCTCAAAATTCCGCTGGTGTACAGCAATCCTTAAGTCATACCACAGATTCTCAATTGGATTGAGGTCTGGGCTTTGACTAGCCCATTCCAAGACATTTAAATGTTTCCCCTTAAACCACTCAAGTGTTGCTTTAGCAGTATGCTTAGGGTCATTGTCCTGCTGGAAGGTGAACCTCTGTCCCAGTCTCAAATCTCTGGAAGACTGAAACAAGTTTCCCTCAAGAATTTCTATGTATTTAGTGCCATCTATCATTCCTTCAATTCTGACCAGTTTCCCGGGCCCTGCTGATGAAAAACATCGCCACAGCATGATGCTGCCACCACCATGCTTCACTGTGGGGATGGTGTTCTCGGGGTTTGAGAGGTGTTGGGTCTGCGCCAGACATAGCGTTTTACTTGATGGCCAAAAAGCTCAATTTTAGACTCATCTGACCATAGTATCTTTTTCCATATGTTTGGTGAGTCTCCCACATGCCTTTTGGCGAACACCAAACGTGTATGCTTATTCTTTTCTTTAAGCCATGGCTTTTTTTCTGACTTTTTTCCCTAAAGCCCAGCTCTGTGGAGTGTACGGCTTAAAGTGGTCCTATGGACAGATACTCCAATTTCCCCTGAAGGAGCTTTGCAGCTCCTTCAGGGTTATCTTTGGTCTCTTTGTTGCCTCTCTGATTAATGCCCTCCTTGCCTGGTCCATGAGTTTTGGTGGGTGGCCCTCTCTTGGCAGGTTTGTTGTGGTGTCATATTCTTTAAATGTTTTAATAATGGATTTACTGGTGCTCCGTGGGATGTTAAAAGTTTCTGATATTTTTTTACAACAACCCAACCCTGATCTGTACTTCTCCACAACTTTGTCCCTGACCTGTTTGGAGATCTCCTTGGTCTTCATGGTGCTGCTTGCTTAGTGGTGCCCCTTGTTTAGTGGTGTTGCAGACTCTGGGGCCTTTCAGAACAGGTGTGTATATATACTGAGATCATGTGACAGATCATGTGACACTTAGATTGCACACAGGTGGACTTTATTTAACTAATTATGTGACTTCTGAAGATAATTGGTTGCACCAGATCTTATTTGGGGGCTTCATAGCAAAGGGGGTGAATACATACATTGAGGGAAAAAGTATTTGATCCCCTGCTGATTTTGTATGTTTGCCCACTGACAAAGAAATGATCAGTCTATAATTTTAATGGTAGGTTTATTTGAACAGTGAGAGACAGAATAACAACACAAAAATCCCCCAAAAAGCATTTCAAAAATGTTAAATAAATTGATTTGCATTTTAATGAGGGAAATAAGTATTTGACCCCCTCTCAATCAGAAAGATTTCTGGCTCCCAGGTGTCTTTTATACAGGTAACGAGCTGAGATTAGGAGCACACTCTTAAAGGGAGGGCTCCTAATCTCATCTTGTTACCTGTATAAAAGACACCTGTCCACAGAAGCAATCAATCAATCAGATTCCAAACTCTCCACCATGGCCAAGACCAAAGAGCTCTCCAAGGATGTCAGGGACAAGATTGTAGACCTACACAAGGCTGGAATGGGCTACAAGACCATCGCCAAGCAGCTTGGTGTGAAGGTGACAAAAGTTGGTGCGATTATTCGCAAATGGAAGAAACACAAAATAACTGTAAATCTCCCTCGGCCTGGGGCTCCATGCAAGATCTCACCTCATGGAGTTGCAATGATCATGAGAACGGTGAGGAATCAGCCCCGAACTACATGGGAGGATATTGTCAATGATCTCAAGGCAGCTGGGACCATAGTCACCAAGACAACAATTGGTAACACACTACACCGTGAAGGACTGAAATCCTGCAGCGCCCGCAAGGTCCCCATGCTCAAGAAAGCACATATACAGGGCCGTCTGAAGTTTGCCAATGAACATCTGAATGATTCAGAGGAGAACTGGGTGAAAGTGTTGTGGTCAGATGAGACCAAAATCGAGCTCTTCGGCATCAACTCAACTCGCCGTGTTTGGAGGAGGAGGAATGCTGCCTATGACCCCAAGAACACCATCCCCACCGTCAAACATGGAGGTGGAAACATTATGCTTTGGGGGTGTTTTTCTGCTAAGGGGACAGGACAACTTCACCGCATCAGAGGGACGATGGACGGGGCCATATACCGTCACATTTTGGGTGAGAACCTCCTTCCCTCAGCCAGGGCATTGAAAATGGGTCGTGGATGGGTATTCCAGCATGACAATGACCCAAAACACACGGCCAAGGCAACAAAGGAGTGGCTCAAGAAGAAGCACATTAAGGTCCTGGAGTGGCCTAGCCAGTCTCCAGACCTTAATCCCATAGAAAATCTGTGGAGGGAGCTGAAGTTTCGAGTTGCCAAACGTCAGCCTCGAAACCTTAATGACTTGGAGAAGATCTGCAAAGAGGAGTGGAGCAAAATCCCTCCTGAGATGTGTGCAAACCTGGTGGTCAACTACAAGAAACGTCTGACCTCTGTGATCTCCAACAAGGGTTTTGCCACCAAGTACTAAGTCATGTTTTGCAGAGGGGTCAAATACTTATTTCCCTCATTAAAATGGAAATCAATTGATAACATTTTTGACATGCGTTTTTCTGGATTTTTTTGTTTTTCTTCTGTCTCTCACTGTTCAAATAAACCTACCATTAAAATTATAGACTGATCATGTCTTTGTCAGTGGGCAAACGTACAAAATCAGTAGGGGATCAAATATTTTTTTCCCTCACTGTGTACACGCACCACTTTTCCGTTATTGTTTTATTTTATTTTTTTGAAACAAGTTATTTTTTTCATTTCACTTCACCAATTTTGAATATTTTGTG